GCCGGTCGCTATATCTTTAACGCTTTGTTATTTGTTTAAAGATTCATCACCGAAAAATCACATGTTTTTTTTCTTTCTGTGCGAAAGCACTAAATTAAGTATAACATTGAAATTGAGTAACTAAAAATATCCTAGAGATTTCTGCGAATGTATGAATGGCTGTGAATGGCTCAAGAGGTAAACAGGCGGAATTTCACTTTTGATTTTATTTCGGGTGAATTGACGTATGTAACGAAAACAAATATTCACAATTCTCAATCATATTCAGTGGTTGTTATCCCAATGCTCAACACATTTGTGGATTCATGAAATGTCAGTAGACGATTTTGTTTACGCGTGAAGGGGAAATACAGAGACAGTCAGTAGCTGTCATAGATACCAGGCGGCGCTCCCGAAAACTTGTCAACATTGCACGTTTATTTTTTTTCATTCAATGTAATAAACACCGAATTTAGACTGAAGAAAGTATTTGTTTAAAATTAATTACAACGTGATTTAGAAATTTCACACAAGTGTCAAAATCTCAGTGCCATTCGAGTGTTCAGTTGAGTGCTCGTTACCATTATTCTGTGCATGAAGACTGATAATATCAGTTTGGTGTTGTTTGCGAAAAGGGGAAAGCGGAAAATTGCTCTATTGGCTGAAAACATAAGCAGAAACGAAAGAACTTTGTTATTCCGTAGAAAGCAGTGCGTGAAAAATGATGTTCTTAAATGTGTCAATGACACTTTTTTTACGATAGCTCAGTTGGTGTGCAAAAATGTGTAACTTATGAAAAATGAGTGGACGCGAAGCAAAGGGTGCCGAAAATAACGAAACCGATTGTGATAATCCGATAAGTTTAGATGAAATTGAAAAAGGCTTGTGGCTTGGTGCGTATTTCATTCGTTTGGAACAGTCCGTGTTTAATAATTGATGGGGTCACTTTATTTTCTTCTTCTTTCAGGAAGTTTTACTGCAGCAACTGATATAGAAACATTGAAGCAACGGAATGTAACTCACATTCTAACGCTTGATATTTGCCCATTACCCGTTCACATAACAGAGCTTCCATTCCTCAAAACCAAATATGTTCATGGTAAGTGGCAGCCACAATATAAAAATAGAACAAAAGAATTGCAATGTGCGCGTTTTTTCTTCTTTTTCTCGTGATTTAGTTTCAGATACCCCCAAGGATGATCTATTATGCCATTTTGAAGAGTGCTTTAGTTTTCTCGACGATGCATTGTCCAACGATAAAGTTGTTTTGGTTCATTGGTATGAATAATTCCATATTTGCGTCACACAACATTTTAATGGCAACAATCATTATTTACTTTCCACTTAAATGACACAATTTTGTTATTTCCAGTTACTATGGTGTCAGTAGGAGTGCAACCATTGTTATTGCGTATGTCATGCGAAAGTACCAATTATCGTTAACGCCAGCTTTCGAAAGGTAACGCCGGATTAGGATTATGAGTGTGTTCTAATCGGAAAATGCGCTAATACGTAATGTTTTCCCTATATTTCTGCAGAGTAAAATCAAAACGTAGATTTGTTGGCCCAAACAGTGGTTTCACTGTCCAATTGCGACTGTTTCATAAAATGGGCTGGCGAATTGATCAAAGTCATGAAAAATTTAAGCTCTACCGCCTTCGAATGGCAGCCGATAAAGTTCGAAAAGGTAAACTGAAGAATAGGAAAACAAATGTCACGAAACATTAAATATTCATGTGTATTTCAGCAAAAATCCTACCGCAAAATTTTATGGACTTGATAAAACCTGATCCAGGGATTCAACAATCAAAACCCGAACCAATCGTGTATCGCTGTCGGAAATGTCGTCGCATTGTCGCTGCTAAAAGTAATTTAATTACACACACTCCGACAACGGCAGAGATTGAACCCAAACCAGCTGGCACAAAGCATGTAACATTCCAAGCTGATATACATGTTCCGAGTGAAAGTTCCTCGGATGAATCGAAAATTGGCACGAAAGGACTGCTAGATCGAATGAATGCACTGTGTATGTATTCGAATAGTGAAAAGTCTTCTGGCTGTGAACCAGAGCCGCGGCGATGCAAAGAGATTTTGTTCATTGAACCGCTCGCATGGATGCTCGATATCGGAAAGCAAACGCAGGGCAAATTAAATTGCCCCAAATGTCAGAGTAAATTAGGGAATTTCAGTTGGGTTAACAGTGTTAATTGTCCGTGTGGTAAAAATGTATCGCCAGCATTCTATTTGGTACCATCAAAAGTGGAGTTAACACATTCGGTGCAAAATGTTGAAATAACCATTTGAATAATCGTTGAATCTATTAACGAAATTAACGTGTTCTATTCAAACATTTATATGTGATTTTGCCGATGTATGGATGTTAGTCAGTCATTGTTGAATATATATTTCACCGTCAAGTAACCAGATCACATGTTTTTGCATGGAGACATCGCTTATTTACTCGCAGTTTTTACATGTTTTGGCTTTGAAGTTCACATTTTAAGCATGTATGCAGTAAAAAGTTAAAAAAAAAACATTCAAATATCACAATCATTTTTCGGTATCTATTTACTTTGGATGCACTTTGAAATTTTATTACGCAAATTCATTTACTACCATAAAAAAAAGTTAAGAGAATCGAATTTTTGATCAGTTTGAAAATATAAAAATTACCATTCTTCCAAAAAAAATATTGTTGATAATTTTTGAGCGAAAATTTTACTTTATTTTGATTAAATTTTGTGATTTCCATCAACGAGTCTTTCCCCAGATTATTTCTGAATTTAACGAAATTCGCCTTTCTTAATTGGTAAAAAATAAGTTTCAACGATAATAATTTGCCGTTAGTCATGTCAGTTTTATTTATGCTCAATAAAAACATTTAATGACATTTTCAATTCAAAAGCTGCGATATATTTTTTATTGATTTTTTCGCTCTTTTTCCCTGTCGTGAATACATCTAATTTTCGATTTTCTATTTGAAGTAAAAAGGCAAGTATTCCATTTATATCCGATGTTTTTATTTTAAATTCCGTTCATTTCATTTGCCTGTAAGTTATTTTCAAAATAAAATTTTCAAAATAATTAGAAAAAAATGTTTGTTTACAATTTGATACGCCTATAAATAGTAATGTTTTATTCGTGTGGCCAACGTTTGATAAAATGTCTTTTGCATAACAAGAATCGTTGAGCGGTTAGTGGCAGTGCTCCGTAATGTCAACAATGACCGATTTTTTCCATCCAAATAAAAAGTAGCCGATTGCCGCTCCGACAACAACGCCCATGCAAAGCCATACGTTGTATGTCATGAATATTAACATCAGCAAGAAGCTCAGCGTTACTTGTACGACATGAAGAAACGTCTGGTAAATGTGCATGAAACTGGTCATTTTTGGCCTGAATAAACAAAAGAACAGTAAAAATATGGATTAAAATCGGCGTGATGAGTATATATTGTACATATATATATACAGTGAACGTTCGGAAATCTTAAGTTACACAATTCCAAACAATGGGGGAAGCAAAATAAAACATAAGGAATCTTTTGAACAAATAAATAAAGTCAAAAACGAATAAGGTAAGTGAAGGAAAAGGAACATTTGGATTAGAATTTTCCACCTAACAAAACCACTGTTAAAAGAAAGAAATCAAAACAAAACACAACAACTAAAACCAGATATAATTGAATGGAGAAAGTCAATTTGGGATTTGGTGTATCTACAAAAGTTTGGCAAAGTGCAAGACATGCAACAGTTTATCAACACTGAGAGATTAAGAAAACTTACGGTTGTCTGTGCATGACCTCACCAACCATGCTGCAATCGGTTTAATATTCCAAAGAAAAAATAATCAAATTAATGATATTGGTATCCCTTCAATATTTTGGAAGTTTTTTTCACGAAGGACTACACTCTACTACACGTAATTATTATCGCTGCTTTGTTATGAAAATTCTATCGGTATTGGGAGAAAAATAAACTCACTTCACTCGAGTCGTATCTTCGCTGCTGGCACCTACAACGGCAGTCTTGTCTGGGAGTGTGACGGCCCGATATTGTAGGCTATTGTATGTTTTCCAGAACAAGTATTCGCGATAATATTTCAATCCTTCGTAAAGAGCGGCCATGACTGCAATCACCAGAACCGATGCAATGAGACCACCAACCGAATCGATGTCCCATTCCTTGAACAGAATTGTTTCTTTGCAAGAAAAGTGGAACTACAATTTAAAAAAAGGGATTCAAATCGGGATATTTTAAAAGTGTTCAAAACTCTGTGCCTACAGTCATATCCATCATGTGTTCCATGTGACCTCCCCCGCTATCTCCACAGCAATTACGACTGTTACCATCGTGTCCCGAATGGTCCCCATGAGCACTGTGTCCAGAGTGATCTGTGAAAATTTGACGACTCATTGATAAAACATAAAGTCAAACGTATCGACTCAAATTGAATCTAGTTTTAGAGAATGGAAATAGTTGTCATACCGTGACCCATCTGGGAATGATCCATGCCGTGATCCATTCCATGATCCATTCCATGATGCGTATGTCCACTGTGATCTTCCATATTGAGCAATCAAAAACGATCAAATTTATGAAAAACCTAATGGAGAAGTACAAAAATTCATATGACTAACAACTATGGTACTGGTGGTGCAAAGGTGAAAAGGGCAAATTCAATTCATTTCCCAGCACTTTATTTGCAAAAATCAGCACTGCACTTTGGATATTTGGAATATTTGTCTATACGAAGAACAGAACGGTTGAGTTTTGATCATTTAATAGCCAATTAGTTCAATTGCTTTAAATTGTTCGCGATGGAGCAAATGTAACAAATTTAGTCGTCAACTGCCAAATGGGCACGAAATTGTAATGGGCAATGTCTTATAATAAAGTTGACACAAACTATATTAACAAAATATATTAAATAAAGCCCAAACACTCCCCAAATCACAGTTCCGACACCAATGTAGTAAAAAAAACACTCGTCTGGCAATGAACTTACTACAATGTTGCTTCTGAAACGGAGTAATAAATTATCGAATATAAACTCTCCGATTGTATCCTCCGATTGACAGCCACTGATTGAAAATGCTTTAATGCAACTGAACATTATTCGTCTGAAGATTTTTTTTTAATCAATTCTGTAGTTATGATTAGAGATTCAGTTCTGTGAGTGTTATCTAATCAATAACCGCGATTTTACTGTACATTTCAACCGTTCGTTATACCAACGTCGGTTTCGTTAATGGTTTTATTTTTCTCATTGAAATACCACAAAGTATTCGGTTAAACTTTGACGTGATGTATATACATACACACACACATGTACTTTTATCTAAAGTAAGTCCTTGGATATCTATGTGCTTGTGCATCTCTGAATATTTTTATGTGGTTTTGCCAACGCTGATAATGTGTGTATTTTTTGCATTCACACTGAGCACGTACATATATATATATCCGCATGTAGAATGTAGAATTTATTATCCTCTTCTCTTTCAACACCGTTTTGTACAATCCGTAATGCAGAGTAACCTGTTGAGTGGCTCGGTATAGATAGAAATGCTTACGCATGATAAGAAAAGCCATTATCGGCTTACTGTAGGAGCTGTTTGCCACTTGATATGAGGCTCGTATTACGAGCACATTCCAAAATACGGACTCAAGAATGCTCATTTCGATTTTTGTTGGATGGAATGAAATTGACAGGAATTTTCCTTTTTTTCCCGATTGATGAATATTTTCCAACACTCTGTGCGAATGTAAGATGTGTAGCCCACATATAGAATGGAATTTAATTTATGCTTTTTATTGTCTTCTCCTAAGCGGTTCAGTTTGTATTTCATTTCGTCGTGCTGTTCATTGGAGACCCGTTGATTTGTAGTAGCGCGACATTTCAATTGTCTGATGTTTGATTTATGAAAGCGCTGAATGAATACGATTGACCGCAAATGATTTCAAATAATTGGTTGCTAGCCATACGAAATTCCAATAAAATTTCCTTTGGCTCCAATTATCAACGCTGACGCAATACACTCTCAAGTGCATGATTAAAATCATTCTTCGGGCACCCAACCTGGGGGTTTCACGCAAACTCGAAGGCCGAAGATTTTACTAAATAGCTGGAAATATAACCATTTTATGTGTAAATTATAGATATTGCTTCTTTTTATTCATAAACTCGAATTTTTTAGAATTTTTTGAATCTAAAAATTCTGGAAGTGGGTTTTGGTGGATCCTCAGGATTGTTTAAAACCGCTCCTGGTTCTGGAAGTGGAACCTCAGGATGGACCAGGGCATTGTCAAACCCAGTCTGATCCATCCTGAAGATCCACCAAAACCCACTTCCAGAACCGGGAGCAGTTTTGAACGATCCTGAGGATCCACCAAAACCCACTTCCAGAACATAATTTTCAAGGTGAATGTTGAAATATTTCGAAATAATACGGATTTTGGTGAATCCCAGAGAATTTTAGAGAAAAGAGAGATATATTGAAATTTTAGATGAATTTTAAGTTGCGTGAAACCCCTAGCACCCAACTTAATGGAAGCATATGCTTCATACAGAATTGTGTTGAATAAAAACCTCTATTTACACTAATTCGCTTAAAAAGTGAAAACTCCTTTCTTCATTTGTTATCAGCACAATATCTTTTGGTCTATAAAACTTTTATAACTTTATTCAAGGGAAACACAGCAAGCAAGTCATGAACATATCAATAGTTCATAAAAAAAAATTCCTCAAGTAATTTCAGTTATGAAACTAATGTTCATCATCATCACATCACAAATCCAGACTTTGTCCTTGAAAGAGGACATTCCCTTCAATACGGATGCTTCAACGGTTTTGTGGCGTGTGTGGAAGTACCACGATAAGATACATTGTCATATTGTTGTATGGGACGTTGAACAATAATTACTTCAAGTCTGCTACAGTTGAATTGAGCCAAGTGTTCGTATTTTTAAACAGTACGCAGTATGTACTATAAACACAAGATAAAAAATAACAAAACCGCACAAATCATCGTGGTTGTCCGATTACATCAATTTCATTGCTAAGAGTTTTGATCAGTTGAAATTTATAACCCGAGATAAAGAAAAGGGAAATCGTGGATTGAATAAACTTTTCTATTGTGGTTAACCATAATGCATGCTTCACTTTCTGGCAATGAGTTTTGACTTGGTGGTAAATTCAATGTGGTTTTTCTTCTCGAATGAACCAACGAGAAGAAAATAACAAAAAAAAATTCAATATAATACGAAGTAAGTTATTATATACTTGAACTTATTATGTAAAGCGATCATTAAAGACAAACCAAAATGCTTTGTGTTCATGTTCCCCGATATTTGAGATTAATAACGGCATTTATCGTATTATGTGCTTCAATAAAAGTGAAAGTGTTGCTTTGTGTACGGCATTTTCTACGGTAAAAACACAGAACACAGTTGATTCGTATGCTTGCCAATGCAGTGTTCACAGTGGTATTTGCTCCAAATTGCCTACTTTCACTTCGAAAACATTTAATTGTCCCTCTGATTGTTATATTTATTCCGCTACGTCTTGCCGAAAGCGCCACATAAACAAATATTCTACGATTGAACATTGTATGGTTCATAAAATGAATAAACTTGGTAGGGAACGAGGCAAGAGCGTCGCGATTAGAAACCAGTTGGAGTCAGGCAAACAAACCAAGGACGTCATCGAAATTCAATATATTAAATCACCGGTGACATTCAAACCGAGTAGCGGTTTAATGTTAACTAAAACACTCTATTCGCATACCGTGATTTTCTGAATCGAACAGTTCCGTGAAATCGATGGCTTCAATCTTTTTGTACCAATCTTAAGTCTATACGATCTTCACGATAGTACCGTACACTTTCAGTTTGAAAGAGAGAAAAATGAAGGGAAAAATGGAAAGAGAGGTCGAAAAATTTATTTACGCGTACAAATGTCTTTTCAAGTATTCAAATTGTGCCTGTAAACGATTTGTTGTTCAGTGACCATTTAATATTTCTTCACACTGCGAACGAATTTACAGCTCATTATTTGCTGTTGAAGTAATGTCGGCACTTCCATAATAGAGCATGTTTTTTTGCTTTCTCATTCATAAATTCAACGATGTCCAACGTTTTCGCTAAAGAAAAAAGTACAAATCAATCAGTTTATTACGCGCATCTGTTGTACATGAAGAAACAATTTTCAGTGCACACTGTTTTTTTTTTTTCAAATCGTCTGAGCACATTTTTTTGCATTACCAAGCACTGTATTCGATCGCGTGTTGAGGCGATTGTGCAATTGCGCATATTTCGCATAGTTCATGAACCAAAAAAATGCATTCGATCATAAGTCGTGCGGTGTTACAAGAGCATTTCGCACTAACTGTGTTCGATTCGTGAAATTGAAGCGGATCTAATTTGTTATACAAGAAATGATCTGGCAGAAAAGGGAACATTTGTGATTACAATCGTAAAGAAACTATACGGCGTTGTCAATTTTGCTGCTCTTAATCAGACGGGAATTTTTTTATATGTACAAAACTGGTTTTCGTATGATCACACGTCCACCACAAAGAACATATCAAACAAATTCCATACAGTATTGACTTGATATGTGAGATACCGACAAATTTGAACAAAATCATAAACAATATGGTGCGCACTGTCAACGCCATTTATTTTTGCTGCAGTGACAAAAATAGACACTTTTATCGAAAGCGATTGATTCACATGCAAACCATTCGGTCGTGATATAAACGCCCCATTGATATGATAATATATAAATACATGTCAGAAATCGTAACCACTACGTTTAAGTCTCTACTTGATTCGGAAAAAGTGTCATCTTTTCACTAGTTTCAGCGGTTTCGGTATATGTTTGCGACATTATAATCTGGAGTTCAAAGAGAAATCACAATCATTCACACCAAACATAGACTGGCGAATCGAGAAGTACACAATTGTGAACGGTTGAAATTCCATGGGATTTTTCTTTGTTTTGGAGTAGAGAAGGGTTCCATTTTTAATATTGCGATATATTAATGCATGTATCGGTTTTACAATGCATTCGGTTTGGCGATTAAAAATGAATCTTTTTTTGGAATAGAAAGCCTTTTTATATTTTTGACTCAGGTGGCGTGCATTTTATCTTTGTTATTTCAATAAATCAGAAAAGTATCCGACGTCAATACACAATAAAAAAGAAAAACAAATAAACTTTTTCGTTAATGTGAAAGAGATTTATCTTCGGAGCTTTAATTTTTCGGCATGTTGTTTCACATTAGGCGGTGTATTAAAATTTCGCCCTGTCAACAATTAACGATAGAAAACGGTTTGCTCGGAAATTCTCACATTCACTGTGGCAAAAAGTGTACGCTCACGTTCACATTTGATCTAAACTAAGCATATGGAGTGTGTTGTGTATGCAATTGAGTTTGTTGCAATTTTACAGCGAAACGTGAATGTTGAATGAAAGACAGTTAGTTAGACTACGTTCAATTACGCAATTGACAACTAAACGCTTCAAATATATCTCTGCATCGTCTCTGAATCTAACTAATTTCATTTTGTATGGATTAGTTTTTGAAATTAACTGATTGGTTGTCTGTTGATTTTGCGATATTTCTTCCATTTTATAACAAAACCCGAAATGCCAGCACTTTTGATTTTGCTTCGTCAATGAGACTCATTGAATGAGCACATAATGGTTGATTATCGCACACTTTTTATTTGCAGTTGAATTGGTTTGTTGCCCTGTTCAAGTTTCAAAAATAAAAATTGAACGATTATTTACTTACGTTGATTAAAATTATCCACTCGATTGGATTCCACCTCAAGCCGTTTTATTAGGTCGCACTTTATTATTTACAATATTTTTGTGCACCTATTCAATATATCATCCTCACTTACGAAGATGTATTGTTGATGAAATGGGAGTCGTGTAGAAAATGATTTAAAAAATAAACAGAAAATTGGCATGCAAACTAAAAATATAACTTAAAAAAGTGCACTCTTCGCATGGATTTCATGAGGCAATTGCAAAATAGATAAATTGGAAGAGAAAATTACAAAAAAACCGATCTGTTACATTCACCCCGCTTGCCGTAACATATGCAACTAATACTGAAGATAAGACCAAAATGAAATGAATATGAGAGTTATTGAACGTGTGCGAATGTCATGTAAGTGAATGTGAATGGGCCGTGTGCGTGTGTATGAAGATTTCGTATAGGAATTAAAGAGAAATGTCAAAATACCACAGACGGCCAATGCATATAAGTGTTTGTGCATTGTTGACAACTAGAAAAAGTTGCGTTCCGCCGCTCAATCGCTGGGTGTCGTTCACACACTGATTTTCCATCTGCTCCAACTCACGTGCCGCTAAATGCGCCGCACATCATTAATGCCAGCAAATGAATGAAACACCGATTTTGGTTAATTTTTCACATATATACCGATTCTACAAATAATTTATTAAATAAATAAAAAATAAATACAAATCTCACATTAAACTAAAAAGTCAAAAATCTAACAAAGATTTCAGTGATTGCAACATTTTCCGTGATCTTTTCAATGCCAAATTGCGTACATAAATACTAAATTTTCGTTTTGTAGCTCTTCCAAACATTTGGATCTCACTTTTCCTTCTAACTTTCATTCCTTTTCTTTTTTTTGAAGTGCCATTGTCGCAAAGCGACCGTATACATTGAACAAAGGAGATATAAACAATAAAAATGGGATGTATTTTGTTTGTGGCTAAGGTGCAGGTGCTGTAAAAAAAGAAATTGAGTTCATTGCGAGAAAATTGACGAAAATCGGTCCATTTTCCATATTTCCCTCTTTTTTGTGTATGTGTGAGATAGAGACAGAGAGAGATTGAGAGTGCGTATTTAGTTCGACTCTGGGAGAAAGAATGGATGTTGGAGCGCATCTTTCGCGCTTATACGACTGTATGGATTGATCGCCAGCAATTTCCCAAGCAAATCGTACACACTCTCCGGGTAGATGTCATTTGAAAAATCCGTATTGTAATCGCTGTCTTGGCAGAGACAATTGTACAGCTTTTGTTCGCAATTGTCGCATTGTTGCTGAAGATTTGTACTGGTGGTGTTGTCATTGAACGGAGTATTTTGGATTTTTTGTCGATTGCGCAGGCGAATGCATAGTTTACGCAAGTGCAGTGGCCGTTTCTTATGACTGATGCACACATTGCGGCCAAGTGCATGGGCCGTTTTCTTTACAACCTCATCTCCGAACACGGTGATTATTTCGGCGAGAGCACTGAAGTCATCCCGACTCTTGAAGAACGGGTAGCATCCGGATAAGATTGAAATCAGAATCACACCTTTATTTGAAAGAAAAAAAAACAGGAAATGATCAGTAATTAATAATCAGAATGAAAATGTCTTGGAGACTGCAACAGGAAAGTAGCGTACAACACATACCTGCAGCCCAGCAATCGACAGCCGTTGTTTGATTCGGATATTTAAGAAGAACTTCAGTTGGTCGGTAGCCCGGTGTGCCTGCTCGCGTTGCCTGAATCTCTTTTTTAACCAAGCAAACGTTGCAAACGGTCGGACGACCGTAGCAGAAGCACTTGACGTTACGTCCATTTGAGCGGTTGTCCAGATTGTACTTGCGGCCGGGTGGTGTTGGAGTGGTCAAAATGTGCGCCGATGCGGTAACATTCTTGGGAAATGGTATTGCTACCATTTGAGCTGGAGATACTTTTGGTGCCGGTGACATTGAGTTGATGCTGTTGCGTTGACTCTCAATCTTTGAGCCAATGCTGTACGTTAAAATGGTTGATTTGATGTCAGCGGAGAGTGGCGATTGGAATTCGGTAGCGTCGCGTTTGAGTTGTTTTTGATTTGAGATCTCGTTCATTTGTTTCAATGGTGTTTTGAAGTGTGATGATGGAATGTATGATCCGCGGTGATGCTGTGATGTATTCTCATTGCTTTGAATGGCGGATTGATGTTCGGAAAGCGTGCGCTGACGTTTCGCTGGATTCGAATCGATGGTTGAACACTTGTTCTCAGTCTCATCGCATTCGTCAAGCTTTCGTTTGGATTTGTACGATGCTACATCGGTCATCTCCACGCAGTTGTCCGCACTCTTGTCAACCGATTCATTGTGCTCCGCCGAACAGTCCAATGCTTGGCTTGGTTGAGATGTCGGAGTTGATTGTTCGTTTTTATTATCACATTGAGTGTTTGGTTTATTGTTCGATTTTTCACTTGGGGTTTCCTTACAGGTATTTTTTAAAGACTTTGTACTTTCCGATTCCTTGTCCAATGCTTGCGCCAATCCGAAATCGACCAGCAAAAATTTATGGTTCTTGCGATCGTGGAGAAAATTGCTGGGTTTTACGTCGCGATGAATTACACCGAATTCGTGGACTCGTCTCAATGCAATCAGAATATTCTCCATGTACTCTTGCAGTTCCTTCACATTCATTTTATCAAAATAATCGTGAAAACGATCATGCGGCATGTACGGCATCACAAATGCAATGGAGTCCTTATTTCTCAGGCACAAATCCACACCGACCACATTGTCCGTTCCACTGTTAACGAAGAGAGAGAGAAAGAGGGAGAGAGAGAGTGAGAGAGAGAGGAGGAAAAAAGATATAAAAAAGATTTTTACAAAGTCAAAAAATATCATAGCAGATAATAAATTCAATAAAACTATTTAAATAAACACAATCGTAAAATAGTTCACAAAAATAGGTTATTATTCATCGTGGATATTCGTACAAAAATATATTGCGTCATTGAACGAAAAAAAAACAAAAACAACACAACATCATAATAAGAACAATAACAACCATGTGTTCGACGTGATTCTAACCTCGAACGCGTTGAAAAGCATGGTGACGATGCTAATGCGATGAACGCACTACAGTGGTTATACACACAGCATGTGCGTACGCTCATTCAGCACGATGTGTACGATTGTTGTTGACACGATTTCCCATTCAGTTGAGATTTCATGGATTTTTTCTCTTCGAAATTTACTAGAAAAATATTTTAAATAACCTACCCGATATCCTTCAGGCATCGCAATTCTTGCGCAATACGTCTTGGATGGCTGGTTGGAATCAAGTATTTCAATGCGAAAAGGCGTTTGCTGGGCAGTTGCTCTTTCCCTCTCAACGATGTCAGAAAAACCGTACTAAATGTTCCTTCTCCAATTCGCCGATGGATTTTAAAGATCTTATCCACATCCGGAATTTGAGACTTCAACTCAGCCACTAGTTCTACGATTGCATTATCAAAACGGAACATTGTATTAGATGAATGGAACGAAAAATTCTATTTACATGTGCATAGCACATTGCAGCCACATGTTAAAATCACTGTTCACTTGACTGCAGCGACTAATGTACAATTTCAAATTGTTCACATGTGCCTTGGTATTTAAAATGACGAAATAATAAAAAGAAATTATTGCCACGATACTCACTTTCATCTCTGGTGAGGGGTTGTCTGGTTTCGTCATTTACCGTGGTTCTGGATGGATCCATTTCAACTGCAGACCGTCTTGCATCAGCCGATTCATTCGATTCCATCGACTGATTAATTGAAGTAGTTACCGATGCCGCCGCCGCCGCCGCATCATTTCCACATTGTTCACTATTCGACCTAACCTCCATCTTCGCGTATATGAAAATGTTTCACAACAATTATTCTTACACAGCGTATGTGTGATATTCTTTTTTTTTCTCTATACCCAACTATGAACTGGCTCCGTTCAAGCGAAAAAATAAGAATACTTTTTTATGTTCGGAACAATTCGATATTATCGTACAATTTACGAAGAATAAATTTAGATAGGTGTATATCACAAATGGCAATGTTATAATTCGTTTTAGGTGAACTTTGTTTCCGTTTTCGTTTTCGCGTCTTCGAAAAAGAATTCCACTTTTTGCTAAATATAAATTTTTGTTGTTGTTTTTGTTGCTTTTTGATTGCTTCAAGCAAGTATTCGCGGTGGGTTATGCGTCGCAATAGATTATATTATCTTTATATATGTATATAAAAATGATTTTTGCTAATTTTTCACGTTGAAATGAACACAATTTCACTTGGATGCTCAACCACGACAAACAACTATTTTATTTTCTCGACGTGCTTTTTTCCACTTTTTTCTTCTCTTTTCTCGTTCGATTTGTTTTAATGTTTGTTTCAATTCACTTCGTTTTAAAAACTTAATCTTAGGTTTGACCGGGAGTTGTGGTTTCGTTGACGAACAAAAAAGAATATTTATTTTTTCAAATCAAAACGTAAAATGTGAGTTGCATGTGCAGAGCAAAATGCAGGAAAAATGGATGTGTGAAAAATGTTTGCAAACACCTTGACTTTTTGTTGGAAAGTGATGTTTCGATCGGGTGTTTATCGTAAGCTGTTCGTCTATCGTGAAAAAGGAAAACACACACGATTGTATGACGGGCTGCACGTATGTGTCAATGTGTACATGTATTACTTTTCTTTCGGGGAACAGTGAATCTATTTGCACACTATAACAACGCGTTCGCTGTGTGTGTTAGTGTGTCAGAAAATGATCGGACCGAACGGAACAAGTATGAACGAAGTACGTAAAGCCGTGTATCACATATGTGTATGCATAGCTGCTACGGAGAACAACGACGTTGTTTTGTGTATTGTTGCGTCATTTTTTTCCGTCGCTTCGCGTATTTAATGTAAACAAGTTCCTCAACAGTCGAGCCGAGCGATGCATGAACACTGACACATTTGACATTTGATTAACGCGTTGTTCGGGCTGCTTTTCAGGCACTCGAACGCCATCTGTATCTCATTTTGGGCAATTCAACCAACTGAAATGTAAGACATTCGGTTGACATTTCTCTCGTCATATTAAGTTTGCTGTATCATCTGTTGGGTTTTTTGTTTGCAATCGAATTTGCTTTGAATCTAAAGTAGAAAATCAAATTGGATTTTTTCAGTCATTTTGAAATTTTCAAACCAATTGTTTTTTTATGAAGATAGATTCAAGCAAAAACCATGTTTAGTGGTGGATTAGCGTTCCTGAATAAAGAAGACAATGATTTTGATCACTTCCTTGTTGGTGCCGCCTCGAATGAGTAAGTGTTTCCCATACAAAGATATTATCTAAGAGAGATTTTATTGAATAGCAATGTTTTTTGTGTAACTTTTTTAATTCATTTTTCAAATTATTTAGAAAATCTAATTTGGCCGACATATTCGAAGCGGATGAATTAGAAACACCGAACGAAGTGAATCCAACGTTAAAATACATTCCACCAAAATCAAAGCAACCACTGAAAACGACAGAAAAACCGACATGGAATGTGGTGATTGCAAAAATCGTTGGCGCATTCAAATTGTATGTATATTTCAATTGTCACTTTGAAATGCTCATTTCATAATTAGATCAATTGATGCCAGAATAAATTAAAATTAATACAGCAATATGAATTTCAATTTCTTTCAGGGTGAACTATGCAAATACGTCGCTCGGGCAACTTGGTTTGGCCTTGTTGAAAAATTCAACTGATGACACTTCAAAGTTGATTCTTTACAAGACGAAAGAACACATTTTGTCGACGCTTTTGTTAAACAAGTCGTCACAAGTGTACTGGAAGCCGCCATATTTTCAATACCACGATGATTTAAATGGGTTTTACAGTTTACTTTTTGGTTCTGATACCGATTCCAATGACTTTTTCGCAAAGTTGGAAGAAGCGTGTACTATTGATCGGGCAAATATAGTAAAACCCGACGCGGATGACACAAAGGAAAAGGCAATTGAATCACAAAAGTTACAACAAATAAACTCCAAAGTAACCGAAACGGCTGAACTACAAACCGATAATAACGATAAGGTTGATGGAACCAACACAACTAGCCATTCAAGTGCCAAGACAAAAAGCGATGTTGTGTATCGTGTAGCTAAGATTGGGCATCAGCTTCCAAAAATCAAGCCGGTAGCAGATGACGACAGCGACTCAACTTCCTTTTCAGATACGGAGAAAATTCCCAATATGCTACCGATCAAACCACCTTACAACATCTCAGAAAAGCCGGCCGCATTGGCACCAACTCAAATTCCACCAAAGCCTGCAAATATCTCAGTGGCTCTACAGCCATCATTTTGGTCGCCATCACCATCATCATCCACATTCGACTTGAACACTTTTGCCGCCGAAAATCGAATTCAACACACTGAAGTTCGAATGAACATATCGAAGCTGGACTCAAAACTTGATCGAGTTCTTGATAACATTGAACGTAAGTATTGGTTGCTCGAATTTAATTTTTTTTAAACAAAGAGTGGTTATAGGACTATTTTAATGTTTAGGTCTACGCTTAAATTCATTGAATCCTGCCGATGCTCCTGATAATAAAGAAGAAGAAATCATAAAGTTGGAAGAGAAAGTACTGGAACTGAAGAAAGAGAATCGTTTGCTGAAACTACAGTTGACGGAAAAAGATCAGGCGAAAAAAGACACGAATGATAAAGAGAAGGAGGAGTTGTTGGCATTACAACAGAGCAACGATGAGAAGGAGCTCAAAATCATCGAACTAACGGGCAAATTAGAAGAAGTAGAACATACTCTCACTACTGACATCGAAGCCAAGGAGAAGGAAAAAGTTGCGCTCACGGAAAAGTACACAATTGAAATGGGAAATTTACGTGAAGAACTTGAAAAGAAACGGGCTGAGTTGGACGAAGCACAACAACAACAGCAACAGCAACAACAAGAGCAACAGCAACAGCAACAGCAGCAACAGCAACAACAACCAACAAGCAATAAAACTGGCAATGCAAACAATGGCGAAATGATTCGGGGCATAATGAATCAATTCTACGTCAAATTATACCAAAGTATTGAAGGAAAAGAAACAATGAAGTCGTCTGATATACTGAAACTAACGGCGGAAATCATTCGAAAAGAAACAAAGGCTGCGTTAAACTCGAATTGATTATTATCGTTGTGAACGGCTGTTTATTCCATTTCGAATTAATATTAAGTTAAGTTTATCATTTGCGATTAAATTTTACCGTTACATTTTTTAAAAAAAGTTCTAAAAAATCGTTAGTTTTGACTTGTCTTTCCGCAGAGTTTGCTCATTTTGAATACCACTCTCCGATTTTTTCATGAGTTCCAATTCGGTCTTACGAATATCAAGTTGCATATTCAATTGTTGTGAAATATGCGTCCCATCCTTTTGTCGACGCAATGATTCATGCAATTTCTGGATTTCTTTTTCCATTTTGCGAATGTCTTCTCCAATTTTTAAGCTCTCAACATTCAATTTTTTATTGGTTTGTGACTTGATGTCCAATTTGGGTCGCTTTAAATCTTTAGCCATGTTCTGGTTGCCCGACGTACTCGGCATATTCAATATATTTTGATTGAGGAAATTGAAAATATCCTTTGTTTGTTTCTCCCTTTCGTATGCCTTGGCATTGATGAGCTCCTGCCTTTCCTGTTGACGTTTCAATTTTTTCTCGACACTGAATAAATCTTTGTCGCCGTTTGCTTGCTCTCGCAGTGCCATGCAATGATCCAAGCTCCGGCCGGGCGGCAAAACTTGTGCACTTATCGGTACCACTATCCCTTCGCCATTCTGGCCCAATCCCGTTCCAACAACGTAGCCAAATTTTTGCAATATACGAGATCCGAATCCCTTGAAAGAAAAGAAAGTTCCCTGTTTTAGATTTGAAAGAAAGACCATAAAATATGTAGAAATACTTACTTTTGTATGCCGCTCCCACTCTCCCAACTCCCTCTGATCAGCTACCGGTGTTAAAAGACTTTTTGTAATTAGACTTGCTTTTACAATTTGCTCAACATCATCTTCTTCCGACGCTTCAGAGTCTGAGGCAACGAATGGCGTCTCTGTAAATCAAATTTGGTTTCCTTTAATAAGATTATTTTAGTTGATTTTATGATTGATTTGTTGCATCCCGTAAAAGTGTTACCTTCTTCGATGGGTAGAACGTCGTGAAAATCACATTTCACTTCCTTTTTCGAGTGATCGAGTTTAATTTGGCAGGTTTTCTCATTGAAATCACTAGAAACCACGCGTCCCTTATACCAAATGTTATCCGATTGTTTAGCTAATACTGGATGCTTGATTTGATTGAGCAGTGAAAAGTTTGGTTTGTTATACTCCTTTAAATCTATGTATCGCACGCTTTCGCCATGGGAAAACCTAATCCACAAAATGCATATTTTAGATGTTATAATGTGAACTGATAGAAGATGAAATCAATGGATATGCTTGCTCACCGACATTTATTCGATTCAAATCGACAGTTATCGTCCGATAAATAGTAGGGGCATGGCACCATGTTGCGGTGAATTGGGTTTGTGAACAAAACCATGACTTTGACATCATCGATAGAGTTTACCTGGTTGATGTCGGTTTCAAGACTGCAAACCAGTGCATTATGATAGCTTTTTGCTCCCCATGCAAATTGAAACGGTGCTGAACACTTATTCCCGATGATTGTGTCGACATCATTCTAAATGCAATATCGAAATCGTTTTAATTAAAGATTCATGATAAAAGTATAAGCTATTGTGTGTGTTGTTACTTTGAATTTTTCCACTTCGCTTGGTGCTTGATTCTTTGAATTTTCCGTTGCATTGTTGCTTTTGCTGGTCCTGCATTCATTCAGTTCGGCCAGGAAAATGGCCATTTCTTGCGCATATGGATCCTCTTCATCGTTCAATTCTTCAGTTTTAGTTGATGGGCCTTGTAATTCATTGAGTGTCTCACGCGTTAAATCGAGTATTTCTTGTAAATCACATTTTAAATTCTCCAGTGATGCTTTCTCCGTATCGTTTGAACACACTTTTATTGCCTCACCGACCTGTAACAACTATATCAAGATAATGTTTTATTCAACATATCACATAAATTACAGTGTATTTTTTGTCTAGCTTACTTGAAGTTCATACTGCTGAATAGAGCTCTGCAGCTCTTCAATCGATGCCATTTCTCTTTACAAACCTCCTCTTATGCTACGTTATTCCATTCGTTTTTGCTGTTGACTGATTTGACGGTCACTTTTGATTCATTTGTTGTTAGACATATCTTTTTTATATATCCGCAACACTGCCGCCATACGTAAGTTCTGTTTTTTATGCAGAAGTAAACAAATTTGCAGTAATGAAAGCGACTGACACAAACGTAGTCTGTTCTCGTGTTGCTAACATTGCGTCTGCTCAGAGGCGATATAAAAGCGCCATCTGTATCTCATTCTGGTGCCAAAAAAGATTAAAGAAAAATATTTTCTATCATTTTGAAAAAACAATTTTTTTTGGTGGTATAAATGTATTTTCAATTTGCATTATTGTCATTCACCATTTATTAAGTTGAAACAATTCATTTCCCTCAAAATTCAACTCAAAAAACACATCCTTTATTTCAAAAGCCTACGCACAGCTGTCGACATATGGCTTTGACATTTCCGATTTTTTTCTTCGTCTTGTGCTTCCTTTTGACAGAAAACATCAATGAAATCAAACTAGTGAGTGAATATTAATGCGATTTCTTCTATGATTTTCAAAACAATTAAAACAAAGTGACTTTTTTCCTCCATTTTTTTTCTTTAGTTTCAATCGGTGCAAAATCAAGTTAGTCGAAATATTTGTGGCACAACACCTAGTTTAAGCAATATTTTTCTACGATTTTAGTTTCTGAAAATTGAAATTTTTAAGACAAAGAAAGAGAGGGGAAGAGATAGAGAGAGCGTGTGTTTGTGTGCGCGTGAAATAGAAAAAGATTTTTATTTGTCATAAGCATTATATTTGGTGAACATGATGATGATGATGAGTACAGAATGTGTCGTGGAGTCAGGTCGGAAACTAAACATTGATTATGCAGTGAAAGATGATGAGAAATGCTTTGGAGCGGAAAAGTCTGTTAGGAGTTTGTTTGCAGAAAATAATGGAAGAATGAAACGCGATAAGTCACCTGGCACATGTCAGCAAAACAATTCTGTCGACATGTCTAATGAGGCAACAGATAATTCGAGAATTAATATGGATAGGAAAAATGACAACAATCACACGATGCAATCCGATGCCAATGGAAAGCGGCAAAAAACTGTTTGCTACGATTTCAAAAAGGGAATCTGCCGTCGAAGATTTTGTCGAGTAAGTACAAACAAAAACATATGGTCTGTTCGGAGGGTGATGCTTATGATATTGAACATTCATTTTTCAGTACCCCCATGTAATGAATGCTGATCAGGTGATTTTCTGCCACGATTATCAAAACAATGGGTGCTTTCGGGCGAATTGTAGGTTTGTAGTGTGAATAAAATTGTGCAAAAAAAAATCAACCCAAGCGCAGCTTTTATATTATTCATGGAATCAACAGTTTAATGAGTACTTTGTGTGATATTTCAGATTTATTCATCGGTCCATTGAAGATGAAGAGCATTACCGAGTTTACGGAGTATTTCCAATGCCAACAGAGCGACCAGCGGCCACAAATATGAATCAACCAGAACATCATATAGCACCACCATCGCAACCACCCCCTCCGCCACTACCACATCTAAACTACTATCACAATCGTGAAAATATGCCTCAGCCGTCGAACCAACCAGCACCAATATTCGCACAGAACGGATCGATGTCACTGGTATCGCGGCGACGATCATTTGGCATGGGCGATAGCAATCTTGAGTCGCATATACCACCAAAACGGCCACACATGGAAGACCAACACGTACGGTCACCGACTGTGTCGGCATCACCGTACAATACTCAGAGTAATGAAAATGCGCATCAGTGTCGTTTTATAGAGCAAAACGTTGGCCAAGCTGTGAACGCACCTTCAACAACCGCTCAGACTGTATCTGCTCCTGCTGTTGCCTCAGTTGTCATTGCCGAAGATGTGATAAACATATATCGTTTGTATGAAGAACACAATTTACTGCGGAGACGCGTCGAGATCAATGAAGAGCGGTTACAAGAGCTACGTGCCACAAATTCGTATTTATTGCAACAAAACGAGCAGCTGAGAAGACAAACACAATGCAGCTGTACAAATACAATTGTGAATCCTGTCACATTGACCACTGCGTCACAACAATCAGCTCCGGTAATTAATTATGATACGTTTTTTTCGTGTGCGGCAGCGCATGGAATATTTTTAATTGATGCGATAATTTTGTGTGTTTTGTTCAAACAGGTTTTGAACGCAGTTTCAATAGCGCCCGTTCAAGTTCAGGCAACGCCGATTGTCAGCATAGCTAGCATAGCGCAACCACAAACCCAAATCATAGCTAGTAGTGCGCCTATAGCAATAGCAGCAAACACATCTCAAGGCCAACAGTTGGCCTTGGCCAGTACACAAAATCTCAATCTCAGTACACAGCAAGCGGGACAGATTTTGGGCACACCACAAATCACTCTTGCCACGGGTAATTTTCATGCGATATTCACACATGCTTCAAACAAATGTTAATTTGGTGTTTTGGTTCGTTCGCAGCTCCCTCGATGGGAATCACAATGAACACATCACAGCCGCTCGCGATGTCTGCAAATGCAACGCAGCCCATTATCTCTTATCCTGTGATGACCCATAGCATTTTACCGCATTAAATAAGCAAAACCATGTACACCATGCTCAATTCACAATTGCTTCTTCACGAACGCAAATTGCTACATTGCAAAACGGCTAAATTGTATTTGAATTGTTGTTCAAAGGTTTTTTTTCTTTAGACGTAAGCAGTTTTTTTTATATACCTAAGTTATTTACTACTATTAGCTCTAATGAATTTTCATGTTCTCCCATTTCTCAGTTTAAATTAAATTTATTCTTATTTGAAAAACCGGCTGAGTTTTTTTATGTCGATCTCTTGGCTTCTCTCCTAACTCAACTACTTACCTTCACCTGTTTCCATTCCGGTTCTAAAGTTGAAATTAAATTTCCTTAAATGATTTTTATCTAATCTTAATCCTATATAAAATATAAAGTAGTTCTCATCGATTTCAAATTTACACGTTTATTTATTTCTCAATTATTTTTTTTCTTCACTTCGTTTTAAATACAATCAAAATCATTCGTTATAAATACGATCAAAATCTATCTCATACAATTCGTTAACTAGCTACCGAATCATAATAATGTTCGGATGATAAAATTTCGCTTGGATTCTATGGAAAACTCTAATGTTATATCATTTGAACACGGAGAAGTGATGTTGAATAACAAACAATAGAGAAAATTGTTAGCATTTGAGAATCTTGGTGAAGAAGAATAATAAATAAACAATATTTGATCTATTTAAATGTAGTCAATCGCACCGATACAGAGTGCAATAAAGCCTGTCCAAATGTAGTCATTTAAAAAAAAAGCAAAAGCAAACGTTCGAATTTCATTCGGAAAGATTTTATCGCACATCGATACGGTCGCGACAAACTAATTTCTGTAGAAAACCTTTGGTTTAAGACTTAAATACGATCAAAACTACCAGGTCGTAATAGGTAATTAAGACCTAACGCAACAACTGTCGCACCTAATGGGCAGGTCGACTTGCTTATCGATATCTTTCGTGATCGCATTCAACGAAACTACTTTGGTTTGTTTTGTTGAATAAAGTGTGTCTATTTATATTAGTATATCGAACAATCCAAGCAAAATCTTAAGTTTTAGGCAGAGAATATCTGCACATAGATTTATTCAAATAAATTAAAAAAATCAATAAAATTTATCGATATTTTTCATGCGTTACGATGTTTTAACGCATTTGCAGTACAAAATTCATATTCCTTGCCAAGTCAAATTTGAGGCTGATCCCAGACGAATTCAGCAAAATTGACTTGGCACCCAGAAAGGAATATGAACTTTGTACTGCAGAAGCGTTACAACAACCGATAATTTTTTTTGATATTTTTAATTTATTTGAATAAATCTATGTGTAGACATTCTCTGGTTTTAGGTGAACATTTTTATTTCCTATCATATAATTTCAGTGAAATTGGTTAGTTTTCTCAGTGTATGGTGGAAAGCACGGAAATTGCACAAAATCTATTCTACAATCTACATTCGAAATTCCTTAAAATTTACGTTCGTACTATATATTGTCTCAATGGGTCCACACTTCACATTGATCTCAAATCAAGTGGATAAAGGGGTTAATTCAAATATCTATCGACTTCATTTGAGATGCATTACATCTGTAGAGCGTCTGAATTATCATTTTCATGAGTTATTTATATTGGTGTGTTTTTTTTCTTTCATTTCGTTTATAGAATGTTTAAATTATCCACGTCATTCAGATCCAATCAAAATAAAATTGACGTTGATTGCATGAGAACAAGGTTGGAAATATCGATTGAGATCTAACTCGTGAAATGAAACCCAAAAATCGCATGAAAAATATCTGTTTCAATGAAGCCTAGCATTAAAACTATAGGGCGTAAATTAATAATGATGAGAGGCAAATGATTCATGTCGTTTTTTAAATAAAAATGCATTTTGTTAAACTCAAATGGAATGGCGCGTTAGCTTCATTGTGCTGCTGTTTGTAAACTCCGCAGACAGCACAAATGTGCTATAAGCAGCAATGTGGCATGAAAAAAAAATTAGTTGATAAACGACTAGTTTAGCTCCAACATCAATGTACGCAATGTTGTACATTCAGTTCTGATTTCTTTCGAAATGATAGGCTCATTTCGAAAGAGGGAGAGAGAAAAAGAAGATAGGTGAACAACTCGATTCGATTCGATTCTATATTAAATAAAGCTCATACACACGAAAACTGTATACTTCTATGCGAATGGAACGAAAAGTCGTTTATCGAATATTTGAAAACAAATTCAAAACACTTTTGTTCTCTTTTTGGCTACGCGCTTTGCTGAACACATTCCAAAACCGAAGAGTCTCATCACCGGCTCCTGTTACAATAGCTTCACCGTCGGGACTCAAAGCTAAGTAGAGAACCCTGTATGAATGACCGGTCAGTTTGGCCACTTGAGTCAATGATGGGTATTTCCACACGAGAATCTGATTTTGCGAATAGCCGTGCGTTGAAACCAATTCCGAAGAATGTTTGGACCAAGCTAAGTTGCAAACTTGCGATCCTGTGTCGACGCTTTGCAGCGGCTGCGCTGTCAGCGTATTCCAAAACCTAATACATCGATCGGCCGTACCGCCGCCGCTAGCTAATAGTCCGTGGTGGTGGGGCGACCAGGCGATTGCTTTCACTGCAGCCATATGTTCTGAATACGATTGTACTGGATTCAGTGAGTGCAAATTCCAAACGTACAGCTTATTGTCGTTGCCACCCGATGCGAGGTATTGATTGTCCGGTGACCATTTCAAACCACACACTTCTTGGCGATGTCCGGTTAACCGCCGCTCAGACACTAAGGCTGGTGCACGAGTGTCACGTTGCATGATCAGTCGATCCCGAGACCCGCTCGACAAAATATCACCATTATATGCTAAGGCGCCCACCCGAGCCGAATGTCCTGTCAGCTTATTTATCTGCAATTTGATGAAAAGATAATGCAAAATTATTGATTTATCTGTTTCATAGTATGAAAATTGCATTTTGTGTACGTAAAGAATTCAACTTCGGCGTTTTGAACATCGAACAAAAAATGTTTATTTGAAAAGTTGAAACAAATATTTGGTTTCGAAAGCAATTGTTGTGTAATTAGATGAAGCAAAATGAGTCAAAATGTAAAAGTAAAATTGGCACGTTTTGTTACATGGAAATTATTCAGGGCTATTGTCAGACCGACATTTAGTTGTTTGTGGCATTGTCGCCAACTTTGGATAATTGTAAACGTAAATATTGACCGCATCAAACGGTAGTGAAGTTTCCAAAGATCGCAGGAGGCTAATTTGATTAGCACAATCCAAACAGCATATTTTGACGACCGTGAATATGCCTAGTTGCTTGTTTAGTTTCTGTTCGACATTTTGCTTCATGCAAAAATTTGACCATTTGAAATGTTGGACCAACCTGTTTATTCGCAGCTACGTCCCAAACGGTGACGTAGCCATGATGGGTTCCAACCGCAACTTGGTTCCCGCGTTCATTCCACGACACTGACGTCACCGAGTTCCCATCTGTGCTCAAATCACATAATCGAGTCACCTATAAATAGAAGTGAAAAAAAGGCTTGTTTACTTTTCTATATTTAGAATACATATGATCGCGGAAATTTTATCATCAACTACAGTCATTTCCGTTTAATTTGTAAGATTTTCGAAGTAATGCAAAAAATGTTGTCCCAGTTTTGGTGTGCGGCGACATGTGCATTGAGCACTTGAGCAATTATGATAACCTCGTTACATTTTGACATATTGACCGATGGTATCGTTGATAAGAAAGTGATGATAAATCAACAAAAAGGCATATTTTTTCTCATAATTTATCATTCGCCAGGTACAAATAGAAAATTAGACAAGAATCGAAAATGAATGCAGTGTTGGCATTATGTTCGTCGTTTGTTTGTTCGTTTGTTTGTTCGTTTGTTCGTTCGCTATGAAATTCATGTACACTTACTTGACTCGTACAAGCACTCCATAAGTAAACACAGCTACCTAATCCGACGGCAAGTACATTTTGTGCCGACCAATCCACCAAATTCAAATAGAAATCATCTTGTAGTTCGGGCGCGTCGAGCACTTTAAATGGTATCCGTGATATTTTCCGTGTTGCTTTCCGTGGCGATCGCAACAATTTCTGGCTTTTCGCACTAACGGGTGACAGTGAATAGGGGCATTGCTCGTTGTAGTCCTGTATTGAAGAAAAAAAAACAGAAAATGAGAAAATAATCGATAAGATTATCAATCAAATTACGTAATTTTGTGGCATTCGAGATTTTTTTCTCTTTTTTTTATTTTAAGCCGCTCGTGGTGGAGGTGGTTATATTAAAAAGATAGTCGAAATGCAAAAACCCCATTAACTAGATATCGTTTTGTTCTTAACCCTCTAATGCATACAACCGCCTCAAGACGGGCAACATTTGAACGCCTGTAGAACGTAAGCCGTACATCGGATCACATTGCTTCAAAAAGAAGTGCTTCAAAAGTTTTTATTCGTCAATGTTCTCTCTTCATTTTTGTCTTTGGCAATATTTGTCTATGTAGTGTGATTGTAAAGTTATAAACAAAAATGTGTGCAAAAACAAAAATTTGACAAAATAAATTATTCGAACTCGAAATTAGACACATTTTTGACACTTTAAAACAATGGATTTGATTGTTCTATGATATATGTCAATCGCATTTTCTGACTTAACCATGATGAATCCAGGATTATGAATATTTTTTTAATTATTTATGGCCAAAAATCAAGCAAGTACCAGTACTCCCAGCCCTAGGTAAAATTAGTGCATTAGAGGGTTAAGAACAGAAGTTGTTTTGAGATGAAGTTATGCTTATATGACCACTCACATCGCGGTAACCTGAGGAAGCGTTAGAACATCGATAAAATGCAAATTTATTAAGTAATTTTCGAAAGACTATCACATTCTTCTTGCCTTTAACCTCGTTTGTTCGTTTAGAAAATGAAAGCTTTAATATGATAAAATTCTTTATTTATGGCTTGGGAATTATTAATCGGTATAAATTTATTTTTAAACATCGTTCAAACTACGCAAACTTGCACGATCGCTGTGTCCGATGGAATCTAGTCGTAGAGGTTAAACACAAATAACTTGGCAACTAGCTTTTGGGATAAAATCGTGTGAATCAGCCCGATGACTATATCAAAGTTAATCTGACGTCTAGGAAATCGACACATTCAAAGCGAAATAGCTGGCTGAATAAGCCACGCATACCACGCTCTATTTGCGTACACAATTGTCCAATTTAAAAAGTTGATACCAACGATTTCAGATTTTTTTTTGTTCCTTCGGAATTGATAATCACAGTACGTTGGGAAAATGCTATGCATCATGCGCAAAACTGCTTATTTTTATGGCGCTAGAACGATGTGGTCAACAGTAATTGATAGATTGGGGAGAAAATAATTTCACAGCTCGTCGCAAATACTAACGCTGCTTATCAACGATGACGAAATGTCAACAAAAACATAAAAATGCTATAAACCTTTGTTGATAAGTTGTACACAAGCAATGCTACAGTTTTCGCGGAATGCTTGCGCATGACGAAAATTTTGCATTTGTTGCTATCATTTTTACTAAAATATATATTTTTGGGCGTTATCAAATTAAAATAAATCGACAAAAAATGTGACTGAAGGACGTTCTGTCGGTTTGAGTCCACCATACAATTCTCATTTCAGAGAACAGTTAATGAAATATGTTTGTTCGAATTTGGAGTGCACTTTGCACATGGTACGGACGATAAGCAATTTTACGAGTTAACCTCTCGCCTTGCATCCAAGAATATTTCCACTGGTTCTCATGCTGAAACATCATGAAACGTTTGCCGCCTGAACAATTTTTTATTAGTTTGTGACACAACCAAGCCGATCGCATAGAGAGACGGAGTGTCGATTTTGATTTGTAGGTCATGCCGATGTCTCAAAGAAATGTTTTTTTTACATATTTTTCTTCTACATAACGACAAATATCAACTGTTAGGTTACTTTCTCCGATGTGAACTATGGGCCGTGTATTTGCACAGCAAACAGCACGTAAGAGAGACGAAGGAACTTTTTGCAAAAAAAAAACTTTAGCATTAGGCTCGTTTTCATCATGACTGTCCATAACAATAAAAACTAATGTTTATGGGTTTTTTATCAACAAAATTTTTGTCAACCTCATTGTGTATGCAAAACGGTACATCGCCAATGTATCGTACGGTTTTGTGGCTAATCCACAAACTCTAATCTAAATAAAACTTGGTGGTATTTTTTGTGCGTGCAAAAACTGAAACTGTTATAAGTGCGAAACGCACATTTTCATTTCGTCTCTGTCTCGTTCAGATTGAGTTCGCTTTGTGTTATTTAGAAATATGATCAAATCAACGCACACTACAGCACAAAAGCAAAGCATAAGCACACACACGCATGCACAGTCGCACACACGCATTAAATGGAGACTTTCTTGTGAAAATCTTATTACCTATTTATCAGCAATTTGCATTCAAATCGCCAAATGTTAATAACAGCTTTTTTTCGCGAAGACATTCCAATAGATAAGCAGATTGAGCGAATGCGTTCACGCACTTTTGGACTAAATTGGTTTATTGGGGTGAACGCTTTAGGAAATCCATTTGTCAGTGGCCGTTTTCGTATCTTTTTCGATATGTTGGCTTTGCTTGATCGAACCGCTTCGATAAAAACAAACAGAAATAAACGGATTTATGCAGATATCTACATTTGTAAGCCAATCTATTCTCAGAAGATGACAATCTCTGTCCGAAGAACACAAAACGGCTCGCTGCACATCCAAATCAACACAAAATCGTTTTTGGTTTGCGGTGACGAAACATTGTGAATGACTTTAGGTAACTTGAATCACAAACCTGAATGTGTGTTTACTTGCTAAGACCGGACATTGCGATAAAACGAATAGTTTTTGTTTTTCGTGGAATGCATTTACCTTTGAGCACGACATGCGTTTCCGGTTTCATTGTCATTCAATTTGCATTATCTTGATGGTCTACCGATCCATTCATACATCCATAAAAGTACGGCCATTGTTCACTGATCGTTTTCAGTTCGGTTCCATTTACATGTTTTACAATTTCAAATTGCAATGCCCATACTTTGTTGTGCGCCAGCATAAATGCTCAGGTCACACAATCAGTATGTGTTACTATGTGCCCGAAAATCTTTGCATATATAAAGGTATCATTTTGGCCAAACGCACGAAAGAATAATAAATGTACGAGTGTACATATTTAGCATTGGCTACCGAAATTCCGCACGAACTTAATTAAGAAATTATTTTCGAGCTTCAAATGGAAAATAGGTTTTATGTATGTTTTTTTTATCTCTTTGTTTTTAATTTGGCATTTCGCGCACAATTGATTATTATTCACCACGAATGCGAATTTAAGCACGCAAAATCGTGCACTTTACATTTCTACCTGACGCTAATTGGACAATTCAATTAACGAAACCAATTTAATGCTAAAGCTTTGTGCAGTGATTCGCTCATTTATAAATCATTGACGCTTCCTTTTCCCAAAAGATCAATCGACTTTTATAGCAAACCATAAAATCTTGCCCATAGACCAATAAATCAAATTCAATTCATTTGCACACGGGAAGACAAAAAACAACAACAACCGAAAATGAACTCATACCAAAGATTTAGAGAAATTCGCACCTTTTCTATAATACACATGTCGTGAGTTGAGTATTTTGGTAAAACAAAAAGACGAAAAAAAACTCATAAAATCGATATGCGCGAAGGTTAAAATGATTTTGGGTTCGATGAATCTTAAAAGTGGCGGTAACTAGCTACCACTCGCAGTGGCCAGATAAGGTAAAATAAGTTATTGACTTGTTGCTATTCTATGAATGGTATGGGAAACCAATTCATTCATGAGTTTTGATTGATGATGATCGCACCTTAAAATTCTTCGGGTGAATGAAAGTTGGTGATCTTTTCAGTGAACTACCAACAATTTAACTGCGCACAGCGATTTACGCATATAAACTAAGTCAGTTGAGTCCCAACAACTGAATGTGCCGAGCAATTTATCGAAGCGGTTCATAAATTTCCATTGAATTCACTTGTACTTCTGTGTTTCTTTCTCACTTCAGTGAATTTTCAAGCCTGACTTAATGAAATGATTGCGTTGTATACAGAATGCCTGTTTCAATTTTAAAATGCCTACATATCGTTCGGCTGCTTTATTTCCAAAGCACAAAACCAAACTAGAGGAGGCCCAAATAGGCTGTGACAGAAGAAGAAGAAGAAAATGTGTGTTTTATATTTACATAAGGCATTTGCATAAATTAATATGAAAGCGATAAATATTAGAATCAAATAAGATGGCCACGAATCTACTTCTTTGACGATACACATGGGCATATTAAAGCGGCCTTTCGTAAGCTCCGTTGGTTTCGATTGAACAGTTGATAGAATGGAAGGTGGAGAAGAAAGTAATAAAATCGTGGCTTAAAAGTGATTGAGAGTTTTTTTTATATGTTTTTTGTCATGTTTTACACTTTTTCAACGAATCGAACAAATTTTATTGGTTTGAATTTCCGAAATGCGCAAGTACTTCAATTGAACAATAAATTTTGATGAATACAGCAACATTTACTTTTGAAAATATCTGCTATATAAACGTGAATACATAGCCGATATGCGACTTCGACTATCATATAAGTCAATAAACGCATCCATTTCATATCACGGGTTTCGAAAAACGTCAATCGAAATTTGAAAAAAAAGATGTGTATTCATTTTTTTTATAAAATGATAAACTTACCTGTTTGGTTGGCGATTGATATTTGAAGAGTCCACGTTTTGCACTGCAAGACACATTTTCGTTGCGATCGTCAGCTACCGTTTTAACGTCTTCGATGCCATTGCCCAGCAATTCATTTTTCAACAAACATGAATAGGCTAAACTATCACGAGCTGTTTCGCCGCAATCGCGTTGCTTCTTCGTTGTTTGTGACGAATTTTCATTTGTTTTCGTTATCGATGCATAATTTGTTTGCCAATTGTTATTTGCCCTGAAATTCAGACGAAACAATTTTTCACTCAACTTGTAAAAACATACCGATTGCAAAATTCCAATCGATTATAAATTCAATAAGGTGAGAATAAAAGCATAGGGAATGATGAATGTGCACAATAAGCGAAACATGAACTGGAAATGTTTGGATACGGGTTGACGAGCAGTCAAAGCAAAAATATGTCGGTGCTGTTCGAGTGATCGAGACACATTTGTCGATTTCATAAAAGTTCTAGGAAATTTTCATCGCACACGAATTTGAGGAATGTTGAAGCGTTTGAGTGAAATTGATCGGGGGACAATGACACATGCCATTGCTAGCACGTGCATTTGTGTCTGTTTGATCGATCAAGAACATGCAAACTCATGATTTATTTTTTTCTCTTCCAACTAAAAAATATTCGCTTATTAATTGAATAAACAAGAGTTTATATTTCATTTAGTGACACAATCCCGGTATGTCATGTAGAACCAGCTACATTTCGAAATACTCTCCGGATGTTTGGCAACTAGATCCAAAAAAACTGATAAAATCGAAACATTTGTCAATTTGAAGCATATTTCTTTTGTTCCTCTCTTTGTTGACGTAGAAATACACGCACATTTTCCCCCAGAAAAAAGAAACATAAATCCAAGCCTATCAAACACGGTGTGAATGAACAGTTCCAGTAGCACATGTAATTTGAATATTTTGTGACTAATTAAGTCGTCGGGTTTTCTTTACCTGCACGGTATGAATCGATCGAATGATGCACTTTCTTCGGACTCTTGTCTATTGAATAAATTTCGAGCGACCGGACTACAATATTTCAAAACGCGTTTCTCGTAGTCTGGACTATACATTTCGTTGGACAGCTTTTGTTAATTATTCTGTTTCTGTCGTTTGTTTGTCAAACAAAATGTGTACGTTGTGGTTTTTTTCTGGTCGAATCTGAAAATAAAACAGAAAGAAGCAAATAAGCAAAATTTTATTAATACGATCATTTTTTTAAAATGAATATTCAATGTTCATGCATATACAATGTATATGTATATTATACATTTTAGAATTATTTGATAATAATTTTTCGGTTTGCACAGGATATGACCCCAATGTTGGTTATGAAGTTCATTGTCGTAATTAACACTTTGAAACCACAATGCAATCTAAAAAGTACTAAACACCAATAAATGTTTAATCTAAAAGTAACCACTGCCGGCATAGAGGCAGTTCCTTTTCTGTGGGTTAACATTATCGTAAGCCTCAAAATCACATCCATTGAACAAAGCTCTCACACACTTTTAAACACTAAACGTATCTGTTCGTATGATTTCACAGTAAAATTTGGCAAATAAATTTCTACTCTTATTCTTTTTGATTACAAAAATGTGGGCGATCTTCATATGGGCATTGTACGGAATGAAGCTTTACAAAGGTAAACTTTTCGTTAATTTGTCGGTATGAATGTATACGGTGAACTCATTTTGCACAACTCCATACATTTACTTAGCTCACGATATTTCAACACGGATTCCATCGTTTATTGTAAAATGAAATAATTGTTGCAAATGGCTTATCAAATGAATACTCGCGATGATTATCACACATTTTGATAAGATTTTACCCAATGGTCGGTACAATGTTTGAAGAAATTACAAAAATAAAACTTACAATTATCGTGAAAAAGATAACTGAACTGATGTGTCGTTGTCAGATCAAGTAAGCATAAATTAAATGAAAAACCAAAATCAATCAGTCTTGAATAACAAGAAATGTAAGGCGCACTCAGATCACAGAGGGAAAAAAAATACAAATCAGTGAACCGTTTGAAGTGTGGATCGAGACTGGAGAAAAGCAACTGATTTGAAAAGTGACAATATTTGATGAAATGCTCAAAAGTACTGAACGAAAAGGAGAAAGAGAAAAAGCGAGACACACTCATATGTGTGGGCATATGAGCCAACAGTCACATATGGTTTGGCTTTGGCAGCCGTATGAGTGGTGCGATTATATTCCAATTTACACGGAGACAAACACACTTGCGCCCATATGTGACAGTTTGTCAAACAATGATATAACATAATACCAAGAAGCATTGGCTGGAGATTAGAAGCATGGACATTAGTCAGAGATAATGTGTACAAAGACCATTAGAAGAAAATCGTGATAAGCAGATAATGAACTAACTCGTTTCGATTTGTTCACAACTATAAAGTTTGTACTATCAGTTAGGTCGTGTTCGACTGCTCTCTCAGCGCAGTGTTGTGCATCATTACCACCCGATGATTGCGAGTTGTACAATGTACAATCAAAGCAAGCAATTAAGCGATAAGAAACTGAACAATGTTCAAAAGTGCACTAATAACGATAAACTCATATTTTGCCCGACGGCAAAAGCACAAACGCACACATACACGCGCATATATGAGCTCATCATACACACACGCTCAATTTGAAATGCATTAATTTTCATGTTGTTGCTTTCGGCCGATATTCTCTTCAACTCATTGTAGTATAAAATGGGAATGGGTGGAAATTCTTTCGTTCAATTTATTCGGTTTAAATGCAAATCGACTTTATTGGATTTTATTACGTTGCATCCCATTATAATCACGTCACAAAAACCCACAATAAAAGCATTTATTCATAGCCACCATTGAATGCTTATCTGAGTTTATAAATATACGACCGTTGCATTTATCGGTTTGCACACACGAATTCCATGCGAATCGAATGCAGCGCAAACATTTGTTGCATTGCCATTGTTTTACTGTTACGTCTGTTGGGAGAAACGTTGAATGTAGCCAGACGTTAATCTCTCAACGATTTTGACTATTTTACACATTATTTCCAGTTATTCTGATCGTTTCCGTTTTTTCTTCAGAAAACCGTTCACCGATCAATGTGCCAAAGTCAAATACCACACACGATTATGTTCTTTCAATTGCTCTTTCTATTGATATCACACAAAAGTAAGTAAGGTTAGGTTTTGAACAATATCATTTCAATATGACCTCTTTCCCCGCACATTTTTGGCACAATTATCTATTTGAATAATGTTTTTGTTTGCATATAGCAACCCATTAATTAGCCCAGTTTCGCCGAAGACTCATTGAAGAAATTGAAACCATACAAACACATATCAGTAGTCGATTGTTGACATTTGTTAGCTGAACACATATAGCATACAATAGCACACAATGTGTGTACCATTGCTACTCATACGCTGCACTACGCAATAGAACCATCACTTAATATTACAACACCCAATATCCTTGTAGCTGTTTTACTTACATTTCAATTAAATTCGTAATTTGCGTCGTTTTATTGATAAAATTGGAAATGATGGCTGTTTTCTACTCAACAAATGCGCATATTTCCTTATCAAACAAAAAATACAGGTTAAATTCAACTGTCAATGCTATTGAGTAGATCTGTGTTGTGGCTGGTTTTGTTGTGGCCACTTCTTCTTTTTCTTTCTCGCACCGTCTATTTTCTACACACACAGTCTCTCTTGCATAGACTAGTGATGAGGGGCCTATCGCTTTTGTACAGAACAAAACACAGTTTCTTCGACTACCAAAAATCACACTGTTCACGTTGCACTCAACTTATTCTTCATTTTGATTTTCAAAAGCACTGTTTTCAGATGGAAATTATGCAAAGAAAAGACCAACAATTGATTGAAATTTAACGAAAAATGAAATTTTACTGCTGCTGATTGAGCATCGTCGTACGTGTGACGCAGTCGAACGAATACAACTGCCATATAAATGTGAAGCACACCATTGAATGTAAGGAGCGCTAGATGGTTGTCTCTGTCACACCAACGGTTGGTATACACGTCGAAACGAGTGTGGTTCGATGAATGAACTCTCTATGAACTCTCACAATGAAAGACTTTTTTCAAAATGGAAACCGTTAACACAGTTTTGCTTTGGATGATCGTTTTCGGATTTCTATAGAAAAGGACCTTTTAGCAATTTTAACAAGCGCACGCATTGGATATAATTTGTTTTTTGTCGGATTTTTGTTTTTTTCCCCAATCATTATTATTGCTGTTTATTTTTCAAATTGAAAGAAAAAGGGGGAATCATTATTAGAAATTAATGATGACAGCAGCAGGAGAAGGAGCATCAAAAGCGACATCTGGAGGCTGTCGATCAAGTTGGATGAACTCTCGTTCAAGCACGACGAATATCACGGAACCAACTGCTGTCAGCTTGACTACTGTCAGATTGTCACATAAAAAAACTTGTTTACAATTTGTATGGGCTATAGTTTCATATATTTCACAGCCTGTGACTTACATATGTTTTCAAAAAACACTGAACGGTGAACATGAAATACTAAATGTTCTAAGAAATGTTTTTTTTTTCTTCGCAAAATCTTTTCGAAATGAACTCATGGAATTCCCACAAATTCGATCGCTAGTCAACTTCGGGGAGAAGTCTACACGCCGAAAATAAACTGAATCAAGAAATTAATTTTTCAGCGACCGGCTTTAAATTTGAATAGTTTTTGTAATCTTTGACTTCTACCTAACAATTTGATAATATAAATGGCACTATAAAAAACTACAGTTTGCGTTTTATCAATTTTGAAAACTGAGTATCAAAACAAAATGAACATCTTCAAATCTATTATTTTATGTCACTTGAAAGGCTGTTGCAAGTATTCTTCATACGACGAAATGGAATGAATTCAAATTCAAATTTGACAAAAGAAACTCTCCAACTACCATTTATTCTGCATACAAACTCAACTTTAGCTCATTGTAGTGGAAATGGACTCAGAACAATCACGAAGTTGTCGTAGCACGACTGCTCCAGGACGAAACTGCTGTCAATGATGACAGATGTCAATCGTTTCCGTTCTCATTATGAATTGTTTACGATTTACAAGAAAGTTTTGTCTTATCAGATTTATAGCTTAGAAATTGGAAACGAAACAAGGAGAAACAGAAACATGGAAAGTGTTTTCGTCACAGAAAACCCAATCGATATAAATCTTTTTGTGAGTGAATGCAATGATGTGCCAAAGTTGAAAGTAGGAGAGATATTTCAATTGCGAGACAACAGCCTGTCAATGTGCTGTGTGCACTGCTTACAAGAGTTTCAATATTTTACCGAATTTTCGTTGCATATACAAGATCATCAGTTCTTGCATAGTGATGTGGCTCAATTGAGAGAAGTCAAAGAAGGAGATTCAAACCGACTGGCTTATGCAGATGAAATATCACAATTGGATACGGCTTATGGATATGGACAGTCCAATGTCAAAGCCGAAACAGTCAGAGAAGAAGGAGGAGGAGGCAACGACTCGGAGTTCTTCGGCAAAGATTTAGAGTTGGTAGAAGGATGGTCTGACGAAGACTTTGTAGATAATAATCAAAGTATTTTTGAACCGGAAATAAATGTAGAATCATTTGAAAAGCTACCCGCAACTCCATCATTCATCGAGGGCACCGATTATGAAAGATTAAATGGTAAATATCGATGCTTAACTTGCAACGCTCATGAGAATGCGAAATGGGAACACTTCAAAGACCATCTGCTGACACATTCGAATGTGAGGAATATATTCTGTCCAATTTGTGCAAAAGGCTTTTCTGCTGTAAGTAATATAGAAGATATCATATAAATATAAACCATTGACTATTACTGCATATATTTACTAGATCGCATACGTCCGCAAGCACGTGAACAGAACACACAAAACTAAGGTAAGAAAGGTGGAAAATTGATTTTAATTCAGAAACAAATTATGCTCAAATATTTGTTCCCATTAAAATTGTTGCTCTTTCATTTTTTTGCGGAAAATGTAGATAACCGCTGATAAAATTAGAGAGGCTCAACCATCGTTCAATCCATCGGCAATTTCTGTGTCTCCGGTCAAAACAATGGAAACCAAGTCGTTTGTTGAGGGTGAGGATTATGAGAAATCCAACGGTCGATTCAAGTGTTTAACATGCGATCGCGAAATGCTGGATCATATCAAAGAGCACCTCATGACTCATTCAAACGACAAAAACGTCTTTTGCCCGATTTGCCACAAACGCTTCATCACTAGTAAGATTCTTCATATAATTTCAATTGTGTTTGAAAAGACTTATTCAATTATAAATTTTATTACTCCTCCCACAAAAAAGTCAGCTACATCAGGAAACATGTAAATCGATTCCATAAGAGGCGCATAAATGCAGAACAGATTAAATTGGCGCAGTCATCATTTCATATTCTAAACAAAAGGAAGCCTTCCGTCCATCCGAGCGATGTTGCTTTGGCGGTTGTGCTTAGCCAAAATAAGCTCGAGAATGTGGAGAAGAATTTCGAATGTTTTGTTTGCCATAGGCACTTCATGAGTTTGAGTTCTCTGCGGATCCATTTGAAACTCCACAGCGGCATTAAATTTTGTTGTCCACATTGTGATAAACTATTCGCTATGAAATCGTACGTCCGAGATCACATCGTTGCGATGCATAACATCAGAAGAGAAGAAATACCAAGTGATAGCATCCGACAAGCAACAGGCAACGTTGCATCAGAACAACGAAGACTTCAACCAGCCAATGCTGCATTGTTTGAATGCAATCTGTGTAAAAATCAGTATAGCAATAAACAAACACTGCGTCAGCATATGAAAACGCATACTACGGCGAGTCCATTTTTATGTGTGAGCTGCGGAGCTGTTTATAAATCCATTGCCAATTTGCGATACCATATGGAGCGGCATCAGGCCGATCCAAACAAGAGACACATGTGTAATGAATGCAAAAAAACCTACCCGACCAGGCGTTATATGCTCTCTCATTATCGCACAATTCATTTGAATAAACGGAAGAGGAAGCCGAAGAAAGATAAAGCGTCGGATAATAATGAAGGACAATTGGCAAATGCTCTACTGTAAATAGGGTTTGCAGAATAAAAAAACAAAATGATTCATAAATTTATGTAAACCAAAAATAAAATGTGATTGAATGAACCAAAAACTCCAACTGCCCTTTAGTATCTCATTCAGTCTAAGTTTTTGCAGAAAATAAATCGAAAAATGCTCCTTTAGTGTGCTAAAGCGAGCGCCATCTGAACGTGATCAACCCAAAGAGATTCTTTTCTCCTTCACATGCTAATTCTCCTTATCCCGTCTTGAATATCGCACGAGTGGCATTAACTCACGGCTATCAATTCTACTGTCAAATATTCCAAACGTCAAACGATAATAATCAGGATTGTTTACAATTTACTGATTATCCAGAGTTATTATTCACAACGTATCTAAAACACAGAAATAAACCGTCTGAACAAAAAAAAAATGGAGACCGTTTTTGTGAGAGAGAGTTTGATAGATTACAATCAATGGACAAGTGATAATAACCAATTTCAAAAGATGAAAATTGGTGAAATATTTCAATTAATGGACAGTAGCATTTCGCTGTGTTGCCTGAATTGCTCGCAAGAGTTTCAATATTTCACTGAATTCACATTGCATATTCAGGAGCATTTTATGCGTGGAGAAATCGCAAAATTAAAAGAAGTCAAAGAAGAAGTTCCAAGTGAAAGCCAAAATGAAGCAGTGGTCGATGATTCGGTGCCGCAAAACGAAGGGATAATAGTTAAATGTGAGGTTATTCGAAATGATGCGGATGATGATGATTTTTTCAACGATGATTCTGAGATGAGATGGTCGGACGATGACGTGAATAGTGTGTTGATGGATCAACGGGATGCGGGACTACCGACCGAAAATCTCCCAAAAAATGTATTAATCGTCGAAGGAACTGATTACGAAAAATTAAATGACAAATTCAAGTGTTTGACCTGTGATCATGAAGCAACAAAATGGAATCAATTCGAGGAGCACGTATTGAATCATTCAAATCCAAAAGATGTGATGTGCCCAATTTGCTCTAAGATTTTTGCATCATATGCGTACACGCAAAAACATTGCAACCGAACGCACAGTCAGAAAATCTCCTTGGAAAAAATAAAGGAAGCTCAAGCGATGCGATATAAGAAAGAAGCAAGTGTGGTTGTTCCAACAGCTCCCCCACCACCGCCAAAGCAGAAGATAAATCCAAAGCCAGAGAAAAGGATGTTCGATGGAACGGACTACAAAAAAGTAGATGATAAGTTTCAATGCTTGACATGTAATCGAAAGATGGCCAAATTGGATCATATGAAAGAGCATCTTTTGACACATACTAGCGAAAAAAATGTGTTGTGTCCATTCTGCGCGCGTGCATTCATCACGGGTAAGTGTATTTGTTATTACCGGAGCAGTAGGAGTATAAAATATAGAAAAAATTTACACAATTCACGTATGTCTCCATTATAAATTCCCACTTGTACTTACAGAGGCATACGTTCGCAAACATGTCAATAGAAGTCACAACAATATACGAATTACAGCCGAAGAGATTAGAGCGGCTCAGTCTACGATCGATGTATCGCTGAAGAAGAAAGAATGGGAAATGCAGCAGAAACGTACACAAATGATCAAGGCAGCGACCAGTTCAATGACGGCAACGGCAGCAGCTGAAGAGGGAACAGTTCGGTGTTTATTCTGTGAGAAACGTTTCACAAAAGCTCGTTATGCCCAGAAACATATGCGATTGATCCATGGTAAGCCGATAGCAATCGGTGATGTTGTGAGCTGTCAACCCATTATCAATGGAAGTGATGGAACCAAATTTTCAGCTGAAAAAGATGACGGAGGTGGAATCAGTAAAGAAGTTGCATGCGTCGGAGAAGAGCCGGAGAAAAAATTTGAATGCTTCGAATGTCACAAGCAATTTGTGAGCTTGAATTCAGTTCGAATTCACATGAAATTGCACAGTGGAATAAAGTACATTTGTCCGTATTGCGGCAAAGTATTCGCCATGAAGGTATAAACAAGTAATACATTCCATATTACTATTATTATTATATAATATATTTTTTTCAATGACAGTCATACGTGAGAGATCACATTGTGATAATGCACGGAATGAGGCGGGAGGACATACCGAAGGAAAGTGTTCGGCAAGTTTCGGAAGATTTTATTTACACGCCACGGCCCAATGTTGCCCTGTATGAGTGTTATTTGTGCCGGAACCAGTATCGAAAACGAAACCGATTACGAGAACACATGAACACACATATGAATGGACCATTCTTGTGTGTGATCTGTGGAGCGGTTTACAAATCAAGTAATACATTCCAGTCACTATTATTATTTATTATTGAGAAATTTGAAATATTTTTTTTTACAAATCAGCGGACACGCTTAGGCATCACATGGAAAGACACAAAGCCAATCCCGATGAGCCTCATCAGTGTACTGACTGTGGAAAAATGTATCCGACACGTCGGTACATGTTGTCCCACTATCGCACAATTCATCTGAACAAGCGACGAAAGAAATCGACGGTTCCCGTCGAGAGGAAGTACGACATTACTTGTGAAATATGCGAAAAGAAATTTATGAGTCAGCATAATCTCAATCAACACCAATCTGTACACAATCGGGACCCAAAGGAACTGATTTGTCATGTCTGCGGATGGGAGTTTAAGGAGCGTTCAAATCTGAAGCAACACCTCGAATCTCATGGCAATAATAAAACGACTTGTGAAATATGCAATAAGGTACTCTCGCATCGATACTTACAAGAACACATGAAAATTCATGGCAACAAAGAGTTCCAGTGTTCAAATTGTGGGATGCAGGTGAGTCATTCGACTGTCCTCTTGGTCAAGAGAAATGAAGTTATGCTAAAGAAGCCTTGAACCCTTTTCTTATAAGTTATTTTTTTATATGTGCAGTTTGTTTCTCAAGAAAGACTGAAACGTCATATGGTTCGGCATTCGGGTGAGCCCAAATACAAATGCGATTTATGCCCAAAGGCCTACACCAGATCCGATAAGCTACTGTATCACCGACGCACTCACGATCAGCAAATGACACACGAATGCCGAACGTGCGGCAAGGGATTCTTCTCAATCAAATCACTGCGAAAACACGAAAACAAACATTATTTAGAAGACAATGGCCTTTTGAAGTCGAACAATTTGAACATATAATTTCCCCTAAAAATGGAATAAATTTAATGGTTTGTATACGTGAGAAATTCATTATAACTTTATGTCATTTGGAATGAAGATTAAACGGCTAATAACAGCATCACTGGACAACGACGATGTTGATTCTAATCTCGATTTAAAAAAAACCTAGTTAATATGCGATGAAAAACTAATTGAAACCGAATAAAAATTGTAAATCGTATGAATACAAGTAATTCAATCATGAATTGACCGATCAACATCACAAAACCTCCTATCTTTTGGTTTTTTATGACACAAACATATTACCATTCGTAATGAATAGTACTCTTGATATGAAACATTTTTTAGCATTCCGGGCACAAAAATCGGCTTAAATGTTTTCTTTATCTAGATGAAATGGCAAAACGCTGTTCTACAGGAGGTAAGAATTATTCTGGAGCATTTATTGAAACTGGAATTTTGAAGGCGAACAATTCGAACATATCAAGTCCCTCGAAAAAACGGAAATTTAAACGGTTCGTCTTGAAAAATGATTTTTTTTTGTAAATTTCGAATTGTGCACTGTTTATTTCCCCTCTTGAATATTGACATCTCGGCTGTAAACCTGACTTAAGCCGATGATGACAAGCAAATGTCAAAAAAGCGGCTCTGTCAAACAAATGATAATAATAATAGTATAGTGTTTGTTGTTCTGTTTACTCGCTACTCGTTTCCTGCAAAATAAAAAGGGAACAACGAATATTTTTCATTCCGATGATTCAAAATCCTCAAAGATGTATCAAATTGAAAGTGTTTTTATTGGCGAAAGCCAACATGGTGAACCTCTAATAAAATCTGAAGTACAAACAGAAATCATAAACAATTTCAAAGTGGGTGATGTAACAATGATAACGAGAATGGACACTAACAATTTTACCCTAAATTTAAACTGTGCACAGTGTTCACGAAGCTTTCGGAACTTCCCCGAATTTACTAAACACATTGAAAAGCATTTCTTACACGGAGACGTTTTCATCTCAAACGATATTACCAGTGATAATGCTATGAAAAATGAATCAACAAAGACAACCACAGCAGCAGTAGAAGAAGAAGAAGAGGGTTTTATCAATGATGAAAATGAGCCAGAAATTCCAGATGATGAAATGGAGTACATGAACGAGAGCGTGTGGAATAACCAATTTATGGTCGAATGTGATCTACAAACCGAAAATGAAATCAAACATCCGACATATGATGGAACAGCACCAGCTACGTTCGATTTATCACAATTCGTCGAAGGAGTCACATACAAAAAGGTTGAAAATGTGTATGAATGCATGATTTGTGGTTTCCAGAGTGTCATGAAAAGTAATCTCAAGTCACACATTGCAGTGCATGTGAAAGTGAAAAATGTTTTCTGTTCGATATGTATGAAAGGATTCGGAAGTGTCCATTACGCCCAAAAGCACATTAAATCTATACACAAAGAAACTATATCAGCCGAAGCCATAAGGAAGGCACAGAAGACGCTAAGTCAAATTGTGAAACCGAAAAAATCCGATCGAAATGGAAATGCGCCAGATGAAGTGTCAAAGCTGAAGCTCAATTTACTCAGTTCAAATTATTGGCGCACGGAAGGCAAACGCTATCACTGCGTGTTTTGCGTGCAGTGGTTCAAAAATCCCAAGTATGTACAAAAACACATTCGTCTAGTTCACGGCCGAACCATCGGACTTGACGATATTTTGGCTGCTCAAATACAACCCGAACTAAAACCCGAGCCAACGAAATCGGTTGAATTGGTCACGCAAAAGCAAATCGAGTCATTGCGAAGGGAACAGGCGCAAACAGATGTGAGCAACCGTGTGAAATCATCATTTGAATGCTTTGCATGCCACACGAAATTCGTATCGGAGAAGGCACTTCGATACCATATGCCCTTGCACGAAGGAATCCAGTACAAATGCCCGCTGTGCGAAAAATTCTTCCAGTTGCCGAAATATGTGCGAGATCACATGATCTATAAACATGATTTTGATAAAAAGTCAAAATTACCACCGCTGAAAACGAGAAAAATTGAAAATTTTGAGTATCACAAGCCGGTAGTGTCCAGATTTGAATGTTATTTGTGCCATCGAACGTATCCGTCGAGAAGTAAATTAAATTCACACATGAAGAGTCATTTGGATATTTTGGAGTGTAGTGTTTGTACAAAGGTATTCAAAAGCACTGAATCGAGGCGTCGACACATGCAACTCCATTCGGCTGATCCCAATCTGCAGCATCATTGCTCACTATGCGATAAAGCATTTCCAGTAGGTTTTTTTTCTGTCAATTTATTTGTAAACTATTTTAGCTGAAGAGCCAATAAAATAATTGATTCCATTTGAATGTGGATAGCATTCACTGGAAACTGATTTTCTTTTTGTTTATGTTTTTGTCAGGTGCGGAGATATCTCATGTCCCACATGCGCACTAGCCATCGAAATCCCAAGTCGAAAATTGAAAAACCACCAAAAGCTCCTCCGAAAATGTTGACTTGTGACATTTGCCAGAAAATCTTCGACAAACAAGGAATGTTCAACAAACATATGAAACGTCACAACAAGGAACCAACGAGTTTCATGTGCGACCACTGTGGTGAGAATCGATTCGAAAATCGTCACCTGTTGCGAAGGCATCTTTCGTCGGTACATAAAATTCATTTGATCTTTTTTTCCAACAATTTCTATCTTTTTTTTCCCGCAGACTAAAAGACTGTCTGTAAGAATCTATGTGGTCATTGCTTGACCTTTAGTCTTAAAATATGCCTACTTTTCCATTTATCATTTGTTACTAGTTTCCATTAATTGCCCACTATCAGTTCGTTATATTGCTATTAATTTCATTTCTTCTTTCTGATTCTCCCCTTAGGTACATAAAATTAATAAAAAGTATTTCAAATGCAATGTATGTCAAAAGGTAGTATCGAAGAAGCGAGAAGAGGAGCATATGAAATTCCACACGGGCGAAAAAGATCATCAATGCGAAATATGCGGTAGTCAGTATGTAACCGAAGGTCTTTTAAATACACACAAAAAACGCCAACACGCCGGTTGTAAATATGAATGTGATGTTTGCCCGGAACGATTCGATCAGCCGAAGAAATTACTACATCACCGACGCTTGCATACCGCTGAACCGATGGATATCACTTGCAGTATTTGTAATCTTGGATTTTTCAACGTAAGATCACTGACGAAGCACAAATTAAAAAAGCATGGGCAACGAACTGATGCCCCCATTGAGAGCGACAGTGAAAGCGATACAGATATTAAAGCCGAATAATTTTATTAGCGAATAGCATTCTTTTGTATTTTATTTTCAATTTTTAAAACCATTTTAACTAACGACTACCAATACCTGATTGTAAATCATTTGAAATAAATGTATTTTAAAGAAGCTACTTCAGACAATTTAGTGAGTTACTCTTCCAAAAATATTATACTAAGAGCTTGCAAAGCCTTGCCTGGGTGCTTCAGTAAGTATGCTGATCTGCACAAGCCATACTTAAATCAATCATATGACGCAAAGTAGTAGAATTAAAATGATTGTCTGTGATGTTGACCAATGGATTGAATTCAAAGTGTCGGATGTTTAACTAAATTTTTATTTACATAATTCCAAACTGTAAACACTGAACATGACTAAACAAACATATGCACAATGAAATTCTACGCAATAAATCCAACTAGGGTCGCCAAGTGGCCGATGAATCGGCCAATAATAAACACTTCTTTCTTTTTAAATTGATGGAATGGTTGAAAATTTCGTAAGTGAATTTTTTGTTGTGAAAATAGCCGTTTTTCATTGTATTATTTTTTCTCTGAGTTTGTTATTCAATTTGTGAAAAATTAATAAAGTTGGTTTTAAAAAATTTAGACAAATTTAAAAATTCCCAATTCACATATATATGCAGACCCGCTTCGCGCGGGTCGCTCTCGTTCCGGTTCTGCACGCATTTTCACATTCACAAAGCATTATCTGTATATACTTGGGAATTTTTATAATTATATTAATTTTTCAAAACAACTCATAATAATTTCTCACAAATTGAATAACACACTCAAAGAAAAAATAATACAATGAAAATCTGCTATTTTCAAAACAAAAAATTCGAAAAACTTTGGGAAATCCGGGACCCGGAAGAAGTTGTTCTCTAACATGTTTCAAACTCATGTCAAATTTGACATATGTGAATTCTGAATGGCATTCTGCACATCTACTGTTCACGACCTCTCAAATGGTACCAGTGGCATCAAAATCAGCTGGGTATAAAATGGTTAAAATGGTACCAACACTTTTTGGGCTAGCGCATTAATATATAGATTACCGCAATGTGTGGCCGAAAAAAAGTCGCCATCTGAATGGAAATAATGATGTGACCAGCCTTTCTTCTCTATTTTCATTATATTTTCTACATTTATTGTGATAATTTAAATAGATTTCCACACTATAGATAGTTCTGGTTGAGCTAAGGCGAACAATTTTTAAATTAAACCAACGCCATAAGAAGCACCTTTCATTCACTTCAATGCATTTTGACATTACAAGGCCACCGAATCACAATTTTTTTTCGTTTCATTTTTTGTATGTATTTTTGTATCTGGATAATGACTGACTTGAATGCGTAGAATGCTTTTTAAAACTCAGCAGAAATGATGACTTAGATTATGTTGTTGTGGATCGTAGTCAACCGTCCGTACGTTTGAATTGAATGCTCAAATGGTTAATTGAATAATGACCGAGTGGCGGTTTGGAAAGATGCTGAAATTGCATGAACTGTGATGAGGTAATTGCCGATGCCTCCTCCATTGAAGTTATTATATGCTTCAATTAATTGCTCATATTTTATTGTTTGTTTTATCTTTAAAATGAATTCGGAGCATGTGACAAACGCGTCCTGTGTATGTTTGAACCGAAATAAAAAATACAAATAATCGAAACAAGACGATTCTCGTAAGTGAATTAAATTGGCAGCCATAAAAATACGCAATATACTCTCAAATTCGTCAATTTTCGCTCAAATGAGCCCAATAAATTTCATGCTTTGGCGGCGGTTGATTGTCTTATGAGAAGCGACACACAGAGATATGATTTTTCTTGGCAATATTTTGCTTTCAGTTTTCTAATGTATAAATAGATCACATTTCACAACATACAGTCGACACGCATGCGATCGAACGCTGCTTCAGAAACGTTTCATGAGATGGAACAGATTCGTATGGCTGTGAAATTCTAATGACATGGATATGGATATATTTTAAGAACAATTCCCTCAATTAAAAACATGAATATGCGAAGATGAAATATGCATTCAAAACAAAAACAAAATGAGCTGTTATTCTGACCGCGATGTGATGCATTTTCACATTTCACTGTATATGTCTCATTTATTCTGATTGATTCAATATGAAGAATAATGAAGAAATACTAATTTATTTGGAATATAAAATGTTTTGAAATTCATTTTTCAATTGATCTTCCTTTCTTCATTTTATTTCATCTTCATTCTGAGATTGGTATACTATATTGATGCGAGTAAAGTACTTCCGTTTCTCTTTGCACACCACCCTAATGTTACGCGATATATTCACACAAGCACACGATACGTGTGACGATCGAATGAGCTCTGCTCTATGAAAGATCTGGGATTGCTTTTATTTTTATTTGCGACGCGCGATCGGCCAGACGACGTAAGAACGTAGTGCGATTAACGTTCAAAACCAAACATCTATAACGAACAAAATAAAAAAAATAAAAGTGTGATTTTCTAGTTGTATCACAAGCAAACATAGTTCAGAATGCACAGAGGTGCATTTTACCGAAAATTAATTTGACCTACGCGAAAACGTTCCGGTGAATTGAGCTAATAACAGTTGAGCAGTTAGTGTGAGGAAATCGCATTGAATTTGAATTGTGAAATCAACACAAAAAAATATATAGAAAAAAATGTCACAGAAAGATCGTCACCAAGTGTTTCCGAGCAATGGGTACGTGAATTGAATATCAATAAAAAATGGACTACCGAATATTTTATGTGAAGTGTGCGTAGCGCAGGAAATTTTACTGGTGACGACGATGGATAAAAAAAGGATAATGATTTGAAGATGAAACGTGAATATATGAATTGTGCTTGCTTGCTCCTGATTTAATGGTCATTGTGAATCACTCGTGTCGTCAATTTCTGTTTGAAAAGCGTTACGTCTCTAGACGACAACGTGATTTATATATGTACATCAAGGCTATACTACGCATTTAAACTAAATCTGTTTTGGTGACTGACTTCGGTTAGATACAAAAAGAAAATGGAAGAAAAAATTCCACAGGATAATGATATATGTACAGTAAATGGGATACACGTGATTGATTTTTTTTGCCTTGGCGTTCAGCAAAATTCAATATGAAAACCATTTTCCACACATCGATCCTGAACAAATCGCATCAAAAATCGCAAAAGCGAATATTCGTTTCAGAAGTTTTTGAGTAATTTTTGGTTGAATCAGCATATTTGTTGTCAAATGCCATCTAGTGGCCTATAATTCCATTAAATTCAACACCTTTTCTTAGCTCAAAGCTTAACGCAAAGTCAGTGATGTGTGCACATGCAGCGCCAAAAAAATCCACAACGTCATTTAATTCAACTATTGTATAAAAACCAATTTTCAATAGTGTCAGCTGACTTATTCTCTTGTGATCAGATTCATTTGTAAAAACACGAAGTTGCACAGAAAACATTGGTTGAGTTTTTGATTTGAAGCGAAAGTTTTGCCTTTTAAAAATGTCAGGAAAGGATAAGTTAGCTATTTTTCCCAGTCGTGGGTAAGTTTTTTATGCATCCAAATATGGATTCAATTGGGAAAATATAAAAAAATATTTACACCTATGTTAAGTTGATATTGCTATCAATACCCACTAAAAAGAAGAAGAAAAATACACAGGGGTAATAAACGCTACGAGCATTTTAGCAGTGGTTCAAGTTGAAAATTGTGTGAATGTGATGTGTTGAAAAAGTTGGTCTATTGAAATATGCATCGTTTGAAAGTTTTTCGGAATTTTCATTCTATTCCCCAAGAGTCACAAGACTTGGTGCACATATTGACTAATCAAGGTCTTAACACTATGCGCGACCACTGTCAAACTGTACGAATTACGAGAGCGAAAGGTTCTTATCACTTTTGTTTTGATTTTTTCTATCTTTCTCTGAAAGGGCACAAATGTTGATGAAATCTCGTTTGACCGGTGCACAAAAAGGGCACGGTTTGCTGAAGAAGAAGGCAGATGCTCTGCAAATGAGATTTCGACTAATTCTAGGCAAAATCATTGAAGTGAGTATACCTCGTACCATGTAGTTTACCACCATTTGAGTTGTAAAACTCAAATTGAACAATTCAATTTTGCAGACAAAAACTTTGATGGGTGAAGTGATGAAGGAAGCTGCATTTTCGCTAGCTGAAGCCAAATTTGCAACTGGTGATTTCAATCAGGTCGTTTTGCAAAACGTCACTAAAGCTCAAATCAAAATCCGTACAAAGAAGGACAATGTTGCGGGTGTTACACTTCCCGTGTTTGAATCGTACACCGTAAGTAGTGAAAGAGTAGCATTCCAATTTAGACATTGTTAATGCAAACTGTATGCTTTTGGTTAGGATGGTTCGGATACCTATGAATTGGCTGGTCTAGCTCGTGGTGGTCAACAACTGTCGAAACTAAAGAAAAACTATCAGGCAGCTGTGAAGTTGTTGGTGGAATTGGCTTCCCTTCAAACATCGTTCGTAACTCTCGATGACGTTATCAAAATCACTAATCGGCGAGTGAATGCCATCGAGCACGGTGAGTTGATGTTTTTTCTATCAGCCATTGAAAAATATGGTTCAAATGATGATTCTATCAATCTATCAAACAATAAATCTTCATTTGCTATGCAGTTATTATCCCCCGTATTGAACGCACATTGGCCTACATCATTTCCGAATTGGACGAATTGGAGCGTGAAGAGTTCTATCGTCTTAAGAAGATTCAAGTAAGCAAATCAGTTCCACGTTGGTCGGATGAATTTCTAATGATTTCTTTCGTTCACTTTTTCTCAGGATAAAAAACGTATTGCCAGAAAGAAGGAAGAGGCCAGAAAGGCCCTTTTACTAGAACAAGGCATTGATGTTCGTGAATCGGCCAACATTTTGGAAGAGGAAGACAATGATCTGTTGTTCTAAATCTACTTAATTTCACTAGCATTGCAACAACAATTATTATTACTATTAATTGGCATTGTCGATTCGCTCACCACCAACAACAACAACAGAAGCCTACTAAGGTGCAACACAATCTATAGAAACGGAAATTTAGAATTGATTTTTTTTCTTTTTCATTTTTTGCCATACACAAACCTCAAAAATTTGGAAACAATTCAGCACCAATAATAATGTTAAACTGTTGATTCGGTTCGAAATCACGCTTCAAAAACTATCAAAACTTAAAAAAAAACAAATATGTACAATAATTATTGGGTATGATGTAACTGTTGAATTATTAAGAAATGATCAGTATTTTAATAGACACAATGGTTCATTAAAACATGAAATCTTTGGTTTGGATCGTGGAGTTCCGACTAAACACAATTTTTTTACAACCACATCTATTCGAAAAAAATGAAATGTGTTTTAAATAAAGAAGGCAATATGTAGTGTAATTTACGTTAATATAACCCAACACTGAAAAAAATATTTCAGTGGATTTATTCCATATTATATTGTAAATGTTTTAAAACAAATCTATTCAAATAAAATATCAGTTTAAATCTTGATCCAGTGGGAACGATTTTATTCGACTTCGTTGACGTTCAATTAGGTCATCATTCGAAGAACTTCAAAAGAGATGGGCTTTTTATTATGAGAAGATTGGCTTTTATTTATCTTGGCATTTAGTACAGTCCCTTAATTCTCAACACGAATTCCTAACAACACAAGGTCTTATTTAGAATCGTCTAAAATTTCACCATCAACTGACATCACTTCGATATCGTCATCGTTGTTTTTGTCATTGTCGGTGGGGTCTTCCTCAATTGCGCTGACATCTTCACCGTCAAGCTTCTTCTGAAGTTCCTGGATCGAACGCATCAGAACACCGAAATCATTTCGACGGTACTCCAATTTATGGTCCAATTTCGTTCGTGCATTTTTCAAATGATCCAAATCCCTTTTGAGTGATTCCAGTTTGGCCATCGTTTCTTTGCGGTCTGGTTGCTGTGAAATGATTTTGGCGAGCACATCGTATTCCATTCGATTTTTACGTATCTTTTTCGCTATCACCAAGTTCTCTTTGCTTTGGGCAATTTGAATTTTCGCCTGTTCGATTCCACCGTCGATTGACTTTGATATATCTTTGTAGTTTGTCATTTCGTCTTGCATCATTTTTCGGGAGAAGGCCGATTTACGGACGGTGAATTCACATTGAGCCAACTGACCCAACATCGTATCATATGCAGCTTGCCTAAAAATCATACACAATGCAATTAACATCTTGAATGAACGTTCTGAATTTACCATGGACGGAACAGATAACTTACGTGTTTTCGGGTGTGTCTTTTGTGTTGCTCCATTTAATGAAACTTTTCAGCAACGCATTCAATCGACGATCATCTCCAGTTCCATCACCATCGATTAGCAATCGGCGCTTGATTACACTTTCTGAAAAACACACCGAAATGAGATTTCGTGCAACTGAACAAATTATTCTCTAAGGATTTGTGAAATGTTTACTCACCATCGTTTGCCATCCTTTTTCTCGTTAATAAGATACCAAAATCAATCTTAAAACAAAACTCTTTATTCGCGAAATCAAATATGATGCTTTTCGGTGCGGCTGGCTACTCAATGTGACGTTTGACAGATGTGGCTTGTCAAATGTTTGCGTTTTTCTGTTCTAAAAGTGTCTGAAGTGTCTAATGTCAAGTGAAACAAAGATGAAAATAAATAAAAATAAAATTTAAAAAAATTTAATTAATTTTTTTCTTCAAATTAGCATGTTGATGTACGATTTTAAAAAGATCTGAGTAAAGGACATGTGTCATAATGCGCTTTAAATGCACTTCATCAACTGCTAGAATTTCCGAACTACGCTGTTTGTATTAGACATATATCGTTTTGATTGACAAAAGTTGTCATTGACAATAGTTTCATTGATGTGAGAAAAATGCATTGTTTACACATAATTTCATATGTGCATAGCAGAAAAATCGTAGCAAAATAGGAACTGAAACAGAAAAATCACGGTGTTGTCTCGAAATAAGCCAAAATAAACTTAAGGAAATATGAGTGCAGTAAAGAAAAATTGGACGTATGACGAGGTGCAGGCATTAATACAGGCTGTTCGAAAAAATCCAAGCCTGTATGACCGCCGAGATCCAGATTACAACCAAACCCGTACAAAAGAGGTAAATTTCGATATGCCAACAGTTGAAATTCTTCTGTGAAAAGTGCTAAATTAACATAAATGTTCAATTCCGTAGGATATTTGGAAAGTAATATCAAATACGCCGGCGATTATCGACAAAAATGGTAAATGACTTTCATGCAATATGTTTCAATTTCAGGTTTGAAATCAATAATTTATTTTATTCTAGCTGAAGACTGCAAAAAGAAGTGGAAAACGCTTCGAATCCAACAGCGGCGCATAATAATAAAGAAAATAAAGAAAAATGAGAAGCGTTCAGCCATTCAATGGAATTGTTATGATGCTCTAAAATTCCTGATACCCCACATGGATTGGACCGCAACCGATGAGATAAAGAAAGACCCCGAACTGGATTTATCAATACTATCTGACATGTGCGATGACGACGAGCATGACGATTGTGATGAAAACTATGACAATGACGAGAATTGTGAGAGTCAATCGGAGAGCAGTTATGGAAGCTCACCCATGTACCATGAAACATCAGTCACCGAATCAGAGGCGCAAGTAGCAGACTCGACAAATATTTCGCGCACAGATCCGATGTGCACAGTGACAACGACACCGATTCAGTTTACAACAACTGGAACCAGCATAGCTGACCATTCAAACAAAATCAATCAATATCTTGTGGCCTATTTGCCGACCGCCACCACCCAAGCAAATCCAATACAAATTCGAACCGAACAAGATCTCATTACGAACCAACAAGCGAATTGTGTTTCAATGAATAATCCGACGGTCGGTAGTGCACCGACTATGTATGCCGCTGAACCGGCACAAAGTATAACAAACGGCCCGCTCGATACCAAATATTCGATGAACAATCAACGCATCATAACCGTTCCAGTGTCAACCGCACCACCGCCAATAAATGGACCTGGATACTTTTTAAATAACTACTTTTTAATGGACCTGGCCGTCGAATTCGAAAAACTGAATGACATCGCTGTCATGGAACTGAAAATAGAAATCAATCGTTTGATTTTGGAAAAATTGAAAAATGTGAATAATTTGCGTCAAACGCAAGCATCGATATGCTTCACAACGCCACAGAATCCCAATTGAAGAAAAAGCATAGTGTTAAAATCAAACTAGTTGTAGGAAATTGTGTTTGGAGAAAATAGGTTTATTTGGAAAGAAAAAAACATATTTGAAACATATTTGTTTCCATTTTGTGCGACAAGAGCAACACAACGAGCTAATAAATTTAAATAGCATTATTAATTCGATTCTAAACGCCTCGAATTTTCAATTTAACCTCAGCTTTGAGTTGTTTCATCTTGTTTAGAGCATCCAATCCCACATTTTTGCTTATTATTTCTCCGTAATTAGTGTATGGGTGTTGAATCAAAAATATATCGATTGGTTTGATCTGTAGACACACTCCCATATCGCTGATATTAATCGCTTCCTTTACTTTCAGCTCCAAAAGTCCCATCACATTGAATAGAACATTTGCAAACAATTGAGGATCAATATCTGCATGCGCTGGCTCTCCGCCAATCGATGGTATGCCAAGCTGTAGCATTTTTGGAACTTTCAGACGAGCTCCGCATTTACCTTGGGTTGTGGGTTTTTCTTCTTTTTTCTGCGAAATGTCGTTCATGATCGACCCAAATTCGATCCGCTCATCAGTTTTTGACAGAATTTCATCTTCGAAAGACTCTTCTCCCCGTCTGGCTGTCTCCTTGTCATCAGTTTGAGCAGGAAGAACCAAACACTGTATTTCAAAAACAAAAATATAAAATCCAGAACAAAAGCTACACATCTAATCAAATACACTTACCACTAACGATAACAAAATCAGCAACAGAATCGAATTCAACTGCATTTTTAACAATTTTCAAATTCAATAATTTCCTTCGGTTGAAATTCAAGAGTGCTCACAAATATACTGCTGATATTGCATATTGCACACAAATTCTTATACCGTTCGAAACGCCACATAGTACGGTTTTTTTTATTGCTTGATTTTGTTTTATTGTCGGTCCCTTACATTCTGTACATTGAACGTGGTCGTGTACCAATAAAAAGTCTTGTTTCGTCTTTGTTTGCTCATTTTTTTTAATAAAACAAAAATACGTACAGCCGAATGCATATGTGCAAACAATAAACAAGGTTGACACTTGTATTTCAACGGAATTGCAAAAAGACGTAGGAATTTAAGAATAAACTCGCTTTTTAAAAAATAGATAGAACATTCAAACGTAATATACAATACAAAAAAGAGGCTTAGAACCAAAACAATGAATTTGGAACATAGATCATTGATTGATTGGTTGATTGCTTAATATAATGCGAACAAAAGTCTTGCAACTTAAATAAAGCAAGAATAATTGGGAACTTCACATTTGCATGATCCATATTGTGATGAATAAAATATATTTATTTTTTTCATCGTTATCATCATCTTATATCCATTTTTCTGATTCAACGACAAACGCATCAGTTGAACCTATTTGAATGAAAAAATTATAGCAGAGCATTGAAGAACCAATGCCAAGAGTCAACATCAACAACACATACACAGTCAAACCAAAAAACCTGTCAAACGGCGAACTGTCAAAGTCTCTCTCTTCACGTGTATTGTGTTATTCGGAAATTGCAAAAGCGTAATGTGGTCGTTTCAATGAGGTAGAAATAGAACGATGGATATTCAGTTTTCGAAAAACAAACAAGAAAAAAATAAGTTTGAATTGCAATAATCGTATTAAAATAATGTCATTATTTAAGAAAAATGCCTGAAATAAATAACATTTTCATTGACGACCCGAAACGTCTACGGGATCCAATCAAAACGATAGAGGTTAGTAAGTTAGAACATAGTGAAAATTGATGGATAAAATGTGAAATTGGCGTCACAATACATTCGAAGCGTGAATATAATTTAAACGAATGACAAATTCTGAATGTAAACCATGTAATTTTTTCTTGTCACCAGGACAAATGGAAATTGGTACCGGCTTTTTTGCAAGTGAAGGGTCTCGTGAAGCAGCACATCGACTCATTCAACTATTTCGTGAATGTTGACATAAAAAATATCGTAAAAGCTAACGATAAAGTACTTAGCGATGTCGATCCAGCCTTCTATTTGAAGTATTTGAATGTTTACGTTGGAAAGCCGGACGTCGAAGATGGTTTCAATATAACGAAGAATACGACACCGCATGAGTGTCGATTAAGAGATATGACCTATTCAGCCCCAATAACCGTTGATATTGAATATACTCGAGGACAGCAAAGAGTTGTGCGGAACAATCTGCTAATTGGTCGTATGCCGATTATGCTGCGCTCATCGATGTGTGTACTTTCAAATAAATCAGAGTATGAAATGTCGCAGCTCAACGAATGTCCACATGATCCAGGCGGGTATTTTGTTGTTCGCGGCCAGGAGAAAGTGATTTTGATTCAAGAACAAATGTCACACAACAAAATGATAACAGAGGATTACAATGGTGTGATGCAGTGCATTGTGACGAGTTCGACGCACGAAAAGAAGTCAAGAACGATCGTTTTAAGCCGCGGTGGCAAGTATTATCTACGTCACAATTCAATGACAGACGATATTCCGATTGCCATAATTTTCAAGGCGATGGGTTTGACTTCAGACCAAGAGATCATGCAGTACATTGGGACCGATGAGTACACACAAAATCGATTCGGTCCATCGCTACTCGATGTTGTGAACAATAAAATTTACACTCAACAGCGTGCATTGGAGTTCATGGGATCGAAATTAATAGCCAAAAGGTTTACGACAGCAGCCACAAAACATCTAACACCGCCGGATGAGGCAAGAGAGCTGCTCGCATCAACGATTTTAGCGCATGTCCCCGTTGAAAGTTACAGTTTCAAAATCAAAGCGATTTACGTGGCATTGATGGTGCGTCGTATTATGGCTGCCGAAGTAAATGAAGCCGCTGTCGACGATCGAGATTACTACGGTAACAAGCGGCTTGAATTGGCCGGATCGTTGCTCTCTCTGATGTTTGAAGATTTATTCAAACGCTTCAATTGGGAGCTGAAAACGATCGCCGATAAGAATATCCCCAAAATTAAAGCAGCCCAATTCGATATTGTGAAGCACATGCGTGCCGCTCAAATCACCGCCGGATTGGAATCGGCTATTTCAACGGGAAATTGGACAATCAAACGTTTCAAAATGGAACGAGCTGGAGTCACACAAGTCTTGTCACGATTGAGTTATATTTCTGCACTGGGAATGATGACCCGGGTAAATTCTCAATTCGAAAAATCGCGAAAAGTGTCGGGACCACGTTCACTTCAGCCGAGTCAATGGGGTATGCTTTGTCCATCGGACACGCCAGAAGGTGAAGCTTGTGGTTTAGTCAAAAATTTAGCGTTGATGACACATATCACAACGGACGTTGACCAAGAGCCCGTCATTCGGTTGGCTTTCAATTCAGGCGTTGAAGACATTCGTCTGCTGAGCGGAGAAAGCATCAACAATAATCGAGTCATGATGGTTTTTATAAACGGTAACATACTCGGTATTACGATCTGTTATCAACGGTTGATTCAAGTTTTCCGAATGATGCGCCGAAGAGGATACATCGGCAGTTTTGTATCCATTCACACGAATCACTTGCAGCGCTGCGTTTATATTCACACCGATGGTGGTCGTTTGTGCCGGCCGTATGTTATTGTAGAAAAAGGTGTACCTCTGGTTAAAAAGCGTCACATTGACGAGCTAAATGAAGGTGTGCGCAAGTTTGATGATTTTCTGGCCGATGGTCTCATTGAATATCTCGATGTGAATGAAGAGAATGATTCATTTATCGCGACAAGAGAAAGCGACATTGTCCCAGAGAAAACAACTCACTTGGAAGTTGAGCCGTTTACTTTACTCGGAGTTTGTGCTGGATTGGTTCCATATCCTCATCACAATCAGAGTCCACGAAACACATATCAATGTGCTATGGGTAAACAGGCCATGGGTATTATTGGTTACAATCAGAAAAATCGGATTGATACTCTAATGTATAATATCGTCTATCCTCAGGTAAGTGTAAAGAACAGCACATTCTTTTTGGTAATCCATTTGATTGCGTTCCGTTTTTTAAATGTATCTTGCATTTCTCTTCTTCGTTTTATAGACGCCGATGGTTCGTTCAAAAACAATCGAGTTAACGCACTTTGATAAGCTGCCGGCCGGCCAAAATGCCACCGTTGCTGTGATGAGTTATTCAGGATACGATATCGAGGATGCGCTCATTTTGAATAAGGCGTCGATAAACCGTGGCTACGGTCGGTGTCTAGTGTACAAGAACACGAAATGTACTGTTAAGCGGTACACAAATCAGACTTATGATCGAATTATGGGGCCGTCGAAGGATGCAGCCACAAACAAAGTAATTTTTAGACACGAAGCATTAGATAGTGATGGGATTGTATCGCCGGGTGAGATGGTTCAAAACAAACAGACAATGATCAATAAAGAAATGCCATCGGTAACTTCAATCAATCCTGTCGAACAAAAGGAGCCGGGCATTCAAAATGTTACATTTTCATCTGTGAGTGTTGCAAAACCACCAATTCCGTTCATTACTATTTACATTTACCTAAAAATAATTCATTTGGTTTCTTTCTATTTTCCAAATCCTATTCTGGCTCCATAGGTTCCAATCACTTACAAAGGCACTGAACCAAGTTACATCGAAAAAGTTTTAGTGACTGCGAATGCCGACGAGGATTTCCTAATCAAAATTCTATTGAGACAGACTCGTTGCCCGGAAATTGGTGACAAGTTTAGTTCACGGCACGGACAAAAAGGAGTAACTGGATTGATCGTTGAGCAAGAAGATTTGCCTTTCAACGGTAAATGATTGTTGAATTACATAATTTAAATTTGCCTGTCAAAACTCAAAAGATATAATTTCCAATTTTCTCAACAAAAATTCACCACACAGACTTCGGCATATCACCGGATATGGTAATGAACCCTCACGGTTTTCCATCTCGTATGACAGTGGGAAAATTGCTTGAGTTGCTTGGCGGAAAGGCTGGTCTTCTGGAGGGCAAATTCCATTACGGCACTGCTTTCGGTGGATCAAAATGTTCAGACATCCAAGACGAACTGTTCAAGCATGGCTACAATTACATGGGAAAAGACGTCTTCTACTCGGGCATCACGGGCGAACCACTCGAAATGTACATTTATTCAGGACCGGTAAACTATTTATTCCACTTGGTCATCCTTCCGATCACTTTGATCTTACAATTTAATGTTCTACATTCCAAATGTTCAGGTTTACTATCAGAAATTGAAACACATGGTGCAAGACAAAATGCATGCTCGTGCAAGAGGACCAAGAGCAGTTTTGACTCGGCAACCGACACAAGGAAGGAGTCGTGAAGGTGGACTACGTCTCGGCGAAATGGAACGAGATTGCTTGATCTCATATGGAGCTAGTATGTTGATTATGGAGCGATTGATGATTTCGTCTGATGCATTCGATGTGGATGTTTGCAATACCTGTGGTCGATTGGCATACAGTTCGTGGTGCCATAACTGTAAATCGTCAGCCAGTGTCTCGAAAATATCCATGCCATACGCCTGCAAACTCTTATTCCAAGAATTGACCAGCATGAATGTTATACCACGTCTTACTCTGAAGAGTGAAATTTTGCCTTGAATCGTTAACGATTTGAAACGTACAAACTATTACATTTTTATACCGAAAAATAAAATAAAAATAAACAATCAGAGCTGATAAGAGCAAATGTTGCAGTTTTTATTTGATAAGGATTTAACCGATCGATCGATAAGTTTTTGTTTTTGAAATCGATGCAGATTGCTAGCGGTAGCGTCATTTAAACTTTATCGCCATAAAAATAGAATGTACTTCTGATAATTGGTTTCATATAATCCGATGTGATGTTTACTACGATCTCAGTGAACCCAGTGCCTCCGCTTTCTATTTTGAACTTTGGTGAATAGTTGGTTTCATCAACTTTTCTAAAGCCTGTGTAGTGTTGGCCGCAGACGTGTGCAAGGTCAAAAATTCTAGGGGGGGTAAAATGATTTTGCCAGGAGGGGGGGGGGGTCTGCAAATTTATAAATGGGTGTGAAAAAAAATGAAGACCTAAAAAAAAAAAGGTCCTCACTTTTGAAAATCGATTCTATCTAGTGTATAATTTTCCAAATCGCTTGGAGGAGGGTCCACATTTTGGAATCCTAGGGGGGGGGAAAACCGGAATACCCCCCCCCCCCCTGCACACGTGTGGTTGGCCGTCGAACACTTTCGAACACTTGTTCGACCGGACGAATGCATTTAAAAAAATTGTTTTGTTCGTTCGTTCGTTCGTTCGTTCGAAAGTTTTGTAAAAAATTATTTTGTTCGTTCGTTCGTTCGAAAAGTTGAAAATTATTTTTTTTGCTCGTTCGTTCGTTCGGAAATTACTATGTTCGACCGTTGGGATTTTTACATTTGAAATACATAGGAAGCAAATACAATTTTGATTTCTTTGGGTTTCAGTCTTACCCAAAGGAACAACGTAATTACCGGCGTTATTACTGAGTAATACCACTGGTAATAATTATTAACGATCTTATTACCGATTAATAAGTAATTACTAAAATGATAGTTATTACCCATTATTACCGTAAAGTACTTAATTAAACGTTGTACTTAAGCTTAAGTATGTACTTTAAGTACGTTAAGTACGTTAAGTATGTTAAGTACATACTCAAGCTTAAGTACAACGTTTAATTAAGTACTTAACGGTAATAATGGGTAATAACTATCATCTTAGTAATTACTTATTAATCGGTAATAAGATCGATAATAATTATTACCAGTGGTACATTCTGTGTATAACTAGGTAATAACACCGGTAATTACGTTGTACCTTCAGTCTTACCCAAAGAAATCAAAATTGTATTTACTTCCTATGTATTTCAAATGTAAAAATACCAACGGTCGAACATAGCAATTTCCGAACGAACAAATTTTTTTTTTTTCATAATTTTCGAACGAGCAAAAAAATTAATTTTCAACTTTTCGAACGAACGAACGAACAAAATAATTTTTTACAAAACTTTCGAACGAACGAACAAAACAATTTTTTTTTATATTGTCGAACGGTCCAACACTAAGCCTGTGATCATATGAGTTTGACATTCATCTTTCTGCAAAATTAAATTTTAAATTGAGATTTGTAATGAACATAATATTTTTGAAATTGGAACATTTAAGTTCAATTTACTGATCGGAATGTGAATTTTTTTGATACATCTATAGTGGTTGGATCGCCTTCAATACTCAGTAAAAAGAGTGTTTCTTCCAAAGTATTGTTTTGGTACTTTATGGTACATTTAGTACCTATGGAACTAGAATATAACGCCATAGTACTAGTTTGTAAAACTCGGTTTTTAATTGGAAAACTCTCGGAAAAGCGCTACTGTGGGAAATCGGGAAAGCGGGGAAATTTCATACCAGTCTCAATCGATCGGGCGGGAAATTTCATGTGAGGTAGTGACCCTGCGGTCGATTTTGAAGCGAAAAAACCATCAATTTCTGAGATAAATGGAAAAAACTTGCCGATATTCCGGAATTTTTTCATTTATCTCAGAAATTGATGGTTTTTTCGCTTCAAAATCGCCCGCAGGGTCACTACCTCACATGAAATTTCCCGCCCGATCGATTGAGACTGGTATGAAATTTCCCCGCTTTTCCGATTTCCCACAGTAGCGCTTTTCCGAGAGTTTTCCAATTAAAAAGCGTGTTTTACAAACTAGTACTATGGCGTTATATTCTAGTTCCATAGGTACTAAATGTACCATAAAGTACCAAAATAATACTTTGGAAGAAACACTCTTTTTACTGAGTATAACCCATTTTTTCACCAATGTAGTCGTGATTCTCGATCTCGCCAAAAATAGTTTCAATGCTTGATTGGTTGATGCCAACCAACGCATAAAGTATAAGAAACGATAACAAAAACTTCATTTTGATAGTTCACAGTACAATACAATAACCGTCTGATAACTCGTCTTATTTATACTTCTGAATGAAGAATTATCAGTTCACCCTTATCGCAAGATTGGCAATTATCTTTTTTTATGATTTGAAATAAAGAAAAATTTAATTCAGAAATGGAATAGCTAGAATCTGTGTCATTTTCAGATAATATAACTGCAAGCGCTTAATTTATTTGAAAATTCATAAGTGTCACAGCGTACGCCGCTATACATTTTCTAGAGATTAACTAATCTTCAAGTAAATATGTTGGAATAATAAAAAAATGAGTTTTAATTTGAGACTAATTAATTGACTGAATATATTTCTGTAACATGACCAAGATATACATAGGTAAATGAATGTTGGAATATATATTAGCTTTATTTCTTAATAGAAATGGATTTCTATTCTCTCTCAACAAAAATTTAAATCACCAATAACATCAATAAAATTACTTGAAGAAATCATTTGAACTAACAACGACTATTTCTTCGATTTTTCATTAATCCAATGACAATTTCAAAAAAAAAAACAGTAACATGAAACTCCAAAATTAAAGTAAAAATACGAGAGTAAGCACACGGGACTGGTGGCGTTTAGTACGGGATTTGATTTTGGTAATACTGAATCATATCGTAAGTACGAGTTCGGAAATTTTGATACGAATTTCGAATGATGGCTAGCATGTGTGCTGATGCTTCTTTATTGTTTTTGGCTGGAGCAAAACGTTGCTTCAACAACGTTATGGTTTGTCCACGGAAACACGGCAGTCCAGTATCAAGCATAAGTGATACCAATGAAACAATAGCATCTTGGTACGGTCGAATAGCTAGGAACGCTTGAACACACAATTCACAAAACCATTTGAATGCTGGTGCTTCCATTTTACCACCCATTATCATGACCATTTCATCAGTTAGCTTCATGTCAGTTTCAAAGCCAATATTTCCACCGGGTGAAGACTCAAACATGAACCCAAAGTCTGGAAATATTTCAAAATTTTCTTTAAAACTTTGTTCCGCAAATTGAATTGTGATAATAATTTTGCCTTACCGATGTGAATGATATGGCCATCTGTATCGATCATTATATTTCCGTTGTGACGATCTTTAATCTGAAGCAAATAACCAATGACTGAGTAAGCGGCCATCGATTTAACGAAATTGCTACGAGCCAACTGGAATTCCTTTGATGTTTCGTCTCCATAGGTGTGCAAAAAATACTCATACAGTCCAGTGTCGGTTTGACGTCCAAGTTGATCACGGGACTTTGCATTCGGAACGCACTCGATAACACCACACTAAATGATTAAGTAAATATACAATTACAAGGGCATTCGCACATTAAGAATGGTTTGTCACTTACACCTGGTGCTGTTGCCACAACACGGTATGGAAACAAATACAAATCCAGTCCGACTTGTTGGAAAATATTCTGAAATATTTTAATCACTTGCAACGCAAGCATGTCCTGACGCACATCATCGCCAACTTTGAAAATGGCTGCTTGCCACGAATCAACGCCAAGCGTGATGCTTGGCTGAACGGCATTGCTTGAATCTTGATTCGATACATCCATTGCCAGCTGCTCTAATTCTGTTATACCACATCGATACACTCTGAATCGTGCCAGGTAAGGAGCTTTAGCTGCCGATTGCATGGGTGTTCCGCTGTTATAGTCAATATCGATCACCATTGCTTCTGGATTCGATGGTAAATAACATCCGGGCTGCACTTTAATTTTGCTCAATGCTTCTAGGCACGCCTTTTTTCGCGGTACACCTTTCGCAAATGAACGAATTTCACCCGAAACTGCTGTTATCTTACCAAAGAAGTCAAACTCACGTTCATAGAATCGTTTGGCACCACCAGAGAATGATGATATGATCTTTTGAGTCAATGCTTCCAAATGATCAAACAAAACCGCTGGGAGTTTGGGAGAAGAAAACACGTGTTACTATGTCGATAAGTTTTTGCTTGCTTTTTGAACCTACGATCTTTATGCTGTTGATCCTCGTCCATGTACATGTTCGTTTGCATATTCCAAATGAGTTGATGGGCAACGATTTGCGATCGTGCTGGAATGTTCTTGATGAATTCGGTCACATAGCCCATCTGCAATGGATGGTAAATTGAAAAATTGAAATGCGTTTTTGTTGTTGAGTAATTGCAAGAAGCAATACGAACCGTATCGTGTCGTAGTGCTTGTACAAGCTGAGGAATGTATGGTAGAACTGCTTCGGCCGGATAAGCAGATAGTGTTTTAATGGCATACTGGGCAGTTAGCGGATGTGTTGGGTATTGACGTGAGAAATACGAAAGCGCTTGAATTGGATTCACCGGTGACCAAGTCAACATATACACAAGCTGCAAATAAAAATGATTGTTCAGTTCATTGTTCTTCGGTTGGATGGTTTCTGTTTTATTTTCTCAAGCTAGAAGAGGTGCTCTTTAAGTTTTTTACTTGATTCGAGGAGAGAGCATTACTTTACCTCGTGAGATTCAGCTAATAATGTCTTTGTGGTAACTAGGTATTTTAATGCTTCAGGAATATGGGAGACAGCAATTGGATCGGAGCAAACCAAACGTGTCACTTCATCCTCAATCGATTCGGCATTTCGAATTCTTTGTGGCAAGTAAATTGCAAGCGCTGGATTGTAGAACCAAGCTAATCGGGTGTAATCACGCCACAAGCTCAATTTAATTGGCCGAGCGCGCCATTCATTGATTGCATCTTCACCAGGAATGGTTAGATGTGGTGTCGAATTTGGGTTGTACCATGTAATCAGAAATTCGATTTCAGCAGCCTAAAAATTGATCAAAAACATTTCAAAACACACATAACGCAATTCGGAAATACAGATCCTATAAAAGTGTTGAATTTCAGTACGGGTTATGTAATACTAGGGCAATGTAGTAGGATTTTCCTATATATTATGCTTTCATAGAGTGTTCCATACCAATAATTCCAGGATTAAATTGCGCTTTTTCATGTAGTCTTTGTCGTAGGCTGCCTTCTGGAATGGGGACCGTTTCGATCGAACCGAACGCTTCGACAGTGTTGATGTTGAATGTGGAATGGTGTTATACCAGCCGCCTGTTCCGGTGCTTGTGCTTCGAGCTACATCGCTGCCAGCATTCGAAAGAGTGTCTAATGACAATTTCGTGACTGACAACGTGTGTGTGGTGGGATTGATATCATAGTCACCCACTTCGCTTGTGATCAAATGCTTTTTCTCGCTACGCATTGTTTGCCAAAATTTCAGCAAAATGGTTATATCTTCAAGCAAAACATCACGACTTTGGCTCGGACACAATTGCGGCCCGCAAAAGTATTCCAGTGCATGACTATAAATCCGTTCACGCAAAATATTTCTCGATAGGGCTTTTGGTAAGGTGTTACCTTGTAAAAGCGATAAACCACACTGGAGCAGCTTGAAACGACAACCGACCGTGGCGACATTTCGATTTTGTTTGTTATTTATGTCCATCGGTAGGCATCGATGTAATAATAGTGCAAACATTTCGACTTTATCTCGATTGCAATACTTGGCTGTGTCAACAATTTCCGAAATTAACTGCAGCCAAATTTGGTGCGGTTTCACATTGATCGGAGGCGGAATCAATTGACAGCCTTGATGTGCGGCCAATGGACTTGTTAATGCAACATCTTCGGCAAAAAGGCCAATTTTTTTCTCGAATGTCGTTTCCCATGCACTAACCATCTCCATCATGAAAGATAGTTCCAGATCTGGACGCGCTGTTAGCACCCATTGCCAACATTCAACAGCAGTTTCCATTGCGGATTCGGTGAACAATTCAACTTGCGATGTGGCTACAAACAAATTCAATTTTTTATATTTATTTTAGGCTCATTAATGTTTAACCAAAAGATTATCACTCACAAATTGCGTGCAATAGCTTTCGATTGATTCCAGAACAAATGATCAGATAAGCGGTTGCCCTCCAAACTGCACCGCGGTAGTTGGCATCACTTTTATCGTAGCATGCTTCCCAAATCTCTTTTACCAAACGATCGCCTAGTCCTCTCTTCTCGTCATCTTCCAACACAGATAAAAGACCCGATATCTCTCCGGCATACTTTGATCGTAGACACAAAACCGACACAAACCGTGGAGTGTCACTGTTTACACATTGTGGACGTTTTGCAGCAACCGGTAGCAGTGCGGATGCAAGTGAAGGGGTGCTCGACTGCAGAGCAGCATCGAAAGCCATTGCGAGCCCACTGTGATGAGCCAGAGCAGATGTTGGTAATTGATTCGGATATTCTTGTAAATGACTCTTCGTGGACTTTGGTGCCCATTTCATTGCTTCGTTGATGATGCCTTGGCAACGGTCGGCGAAATCTTTTAAACGACTCTGTTTTGGAAAGTAAAGAAAAACAGCGATATTCATTCGGAGATTCATATAAATCAATTGACTGGAATTACCTCTCGAGCTGGTAAACTGTCCATCAATTGAAGTGTGTACGGTGTTGATGTGACCTTTAATGTCGGCGTCTCTTCGTTTGGATCGAGGGTTAATGAAAAAGCCAACAATTGCAACACGTCCAACATACACCAAAGTACTTTTCTGTTCCACAGCAAATGCGGGAACTTATCGACCAGTTGTGACAGATACTGATCGGCAACCACTTGAATTTGTTTGTGAATATGATTGAAGTATACGAGTAATAGCATTGCTTGGGACTCTAACACATTTTCACGGAGCTGTTCTTGTGATATTAACACATTTCGAAACTTTTCAAATACTTGATCCGCAATACTGTAAATTGAAAATGTTGAACATGTCAAGAACTTTTTTCGTTGGATTCAAGTTTAAATTATCAAAAAATGCTCACCATTTGATGCATGACCACATTCCCGATTTGTCTTTTTGCAACGGAATATCGCACAGGTAACTTAAAATTGCTTCCAAACTTGGCTCATCGGCATTTTCAACTCTAAAACATTCAAAAGCAAACAATTAACATCATTTCTGTTCAGTATATTTTTTAATTTGCTTGAATTACCTTAATGTTTCGAGCCAATAAACGCTCAGCAAGTAGGTGCATTGAGCAAAAGTGAATTTGTGAATACAGGCCACAACTTCAGCTGGAGGATGATCAAACAGCACCAAGATCTGGCTTCGTAACTCGTTCAAGCTAACACTATCGGATTTAACGGCTGATGTGTAGTTCAACTCGCGCATTTCCGATCGATGAGCCGTTTGTGAAATCAGCAGAGGGGATTTGGCTGCAATCTGTTGAACACCTTGATACCATTCCGATGGCCATAGTCGTGAATTGGTGAAACCCATCACAATACAATAGAGCCAGAAATCTTTGAATAGCTTGTGCAATCGAATCTTCGGATTTTTTATTGGAGGCAAACGCTTCACCAAAATCTGTAATTTCACATTCAATTCATTCGTCAATCAAATTTATACAGTTACATTAAAATCTTTGTAGAAAAATTTACCGCAATAACAGGAATCAACATGCCAAGGTTGCCAGCGCTTGAGCTCGCTTTCTGCGCTCCAGCTGAATTATCATATGATCGTTCCCCTTCTAATCCGATTTGCACAAATAATTCTAATAGTTTTCCGAGCAAATCCAACATTTCGGCTTCGCCTTGAATGTTCGCAGCAATGTTTCCGAGAGCATTGATAACTGCATCGGAAACGTGTTGGTATTGCTTTCGTTGATCTGTATTCGTTGAGTAAGCTTGCGATGCAGATTGTACAGTTACGCGCGAGAACATTTTCATGATTTCCTCGAAGATTGGCGGCTCACAGCGAGATATAATTATGCATCCCAATTGATCGACAATCAAAACATTTTGCTCTGACGGAACCTTGCAGAAACGCTGTATGAAAAATTGCAAAATATTTTGTGTCGTTTTTGGGGTATTTTTTAAAGCAACCGCTACGTGACCCAACATCACAATGATGTTCAATGAAACTAGGCTCGATTCACTAGAATAAAAGATGGACGTTTTTGTAATTAGTGTTGGAATAATGGATTTTGGTATTTGGGTTTCTTACTTTTCTTGTTTCTCAGCAGTAAAGAGGCGATTTGAAACGTTAGCCACAAGAGCTGGTACACAGTATGGATCAAGCTTATGTGCGGCATGTAAAGCAATACTCAAATTTTCAATTGCCGCATCTCTCAATGCCTCAAAAGCTGCTTGAGCGGATTTAGTGATGCCAACCGGTTTTAACGGTACGTCGATAGCTCGATAATCGTTCCCTTGGACTGTTTGAAAATAATTCAATTAATCAAAACATTGTATTTTATTCAAACAGTAATTCCATCTTAACTCACCAACGATTTTAAAAGAATCCTTATCTTTTTTCTGTTGTGCTTGACCATATAACTTTGCCAATATGGGGCTGGGATCAACCAAGAAATCTCTTAAATAAGAAATTGATGTTCCAGCAATATTCGGAAACTTTTCTGCCAATTTTCCAAGACCCTACGTAAATGATGAAGATAACAGAATATGAAACTTTTTCATTACACAAACAAAAATCTTGACAAGTGTTTTGGTTGCGAACAATGTGTCTTAATTTGATACAAATTTACTTGTAACTACGAGAAATGGTCCAATTTTGGCATTATTCTATCAAAGTGAATTCAAAATCATAATCAATTTCGTTTTTATTCATACCTCCAAACAAACCATGAGCAGAGGCATGTGGTCCATCACAATTTTTTGGCCCACCAACAAGTTCAATTTCTGATATAATCGTCCACACAGTTTATCACCCTCTGAAAAACAAAACTCAATTAGCAAATCAATTTATGTAAATATGATAAAATCGATGGATTGAAGTTTTCTTCAAAGCAAGCCACGTTCAATTAATTCGAAATCAATTAGACATTTTAGTGACACAATGGTATCGTTTGTTGGAGATTGGGGATTAAATAATCGAAGCCACAAACATTGAAATGGAAAGAAAACCAAACACAAACAACATTTGTTCACCTAATTTACACAAATACACTAAACCATGTTGTAAAGAAGAATTATTATACTCCTCATCGGCTGCAAGATATCAATGGCATTTAAATCAAACTGATCAAGAATGTACTAATAGAATTCGACAAGTTGCTTCAAGAGTTTGTGTATGGAATATTTAAACGTTGCTTTACCGGTTTCATCGTTGATCGCCCACACCAGCAGATCTACACAGGCTGCATTGGCCATTACATTGATTTTATATTTATTGATGGCCGTGCAGCCTGGTTCTCGATGCTCTTTCTCCTGGTCATTTTGTTTCTTCTGCAATTCAGTTTGACCATTCAGGAATAAGTTCTTCACAAATTCTTGCACATCCTTCGTGAATGGCGTTGGTAGATCTATTCAAAAATATTCTTTATCGTTAGGTTTTGTCTTATGTTATGATTCAAATGTTTCTGCGTTTACCTGTTTCATTTTGGAGTACTTCACGCAACAGTGTAACCAGTACCAAATTGATTGTTTCGGAAAAACTTTTGTATGGATACGATTTGATTTGATGTAATGAATATATGTCGCTGGCCTGTTCATCGAGATAATCAAGAGTTTCTTTCGTCAACAGTTTTTTGGCAATCGCAAAAATGCTTTGCAAGTATTGGATTTTGAATTGAATTTTCATTTTCTTCTCCGGTGTCTCATAGAAACGCATATTTGGAAATTGATTAAAACTTGATCCGTATTTTGAAAAAAAGTACGTCGTCGGATCATACGGCACAGAATAGTAGGATTGCAGTTTTGGTGGTCGATTTGTTGAATCGGTGTCATCACTCATGGAATCGTCGAGAGCTTCGCAACTCAAGCCACCCGACAATGATCGGGGTATGATAGAGCGAAATTGCGATAGACTTTGTTGCCGTTCATGAAGTGTGTAATTGTTGGTTGTCGTTGAAGTGTTTTTTGTAGCAGATGGTATCGTTATTGGCGGAAAAATTCGACATAAAAGCGGTGGGATACTGTGTGCGTAACGGCCCATTGCCCGCCCCAAACCAAGCAAAATCGGAACGGTTGCTTTGCATAAATTTATTGGTGGCAATGTATTACTCTCGCGACTAGATTTTATCATCGTTGTCAGTGAATCGAGAGTGCTCACTTGATTTTCGATAATCGTGTCACGTACATCCGGGCAATTGACCGCAACATCCGATAGTAATGTGTTAAGACAGAAACTGAACCGTTCTGAAGCTGGAACACCTATGATAAATATACGACAATTTTATTCTCTATTTTTCTCTTGAATTCGCATGGAAATCGCTTACGGTCCGACTTTTTAGGTTTCCCATCATCGACCCATACGGCCTTGGGCAACGCTTTGTTCAATCTCAGGAGGTATGGCACAATTTTCGTTTCATGTTGACATCCACTGTCAAGAAAGTACAAGCCTAGTGCAATGACAGCTTCTTGAGCCCGAAAATCCAAACAAAACACTCCAGCCGCATTTTCTTGGGGACAATAGCGATACAGTGACAAAACCTACACAAAAATATAAAGGATAATTTTATCAAATCTATTGGAATTTGGATAATCGTTGAGCGTCTCAGTTTTGTGCGAAATTGATTTTATCGATTTTACAATTGAAGGACACTGAAATGATAAGAGCTCTCACTTTTTCCCATGGTGTTGGTTTGATTTGTGCTAACACCCGTGCCAAACTCCGCACAGTATTTTCGAAATAAAACTTATTATTTATCGTCATTTTATAGCATGTTGCTCAAACCAATCGATTTGTTTATTCAATTGTTTTTTGTTGTTCAGGTGATGGTATGTAAGAAAATTTGTTGGACTTTACACGTCAAGAATTAGTATTATGACTATATTTTTTTTCTTTTCCTCTGTCGATGATATTATGACAGCTCGAAGTGTCATTAATGATATTTTTCGTTATTGTTAGGTTGCTCGACTGGTTTGTTTGACAGCCGCTAAACGTATTAAAACATTCACATAACCTAAATAAAGAAACAACGCATCAAGAAGCACAAACGCAAAGAATTAAGAGTTTTTTTTTCCATTTTATTCTCATAAAAAATTGCACCGAGTTTTGAGTAGTGAGATGGCGAAGAAAAAGACCACTCCAAAAAAAGAAACCAATGAAAGTGAAGTGAAAAAGACAAAAGGTACGCCGACTGTGGCACAGATCAAATCCGACAAATTGACAGTGCTTGCGAATCAATATTGGTCAAATGAGAAGCATTTACCATTCGATCCAGATATCATCGTGGAAATCTACCGAACGGATATAATTGGTGCATCAGCTCGACTGCGAAACATCATTTTGCTGGAGTTCAGCCAATATTTGGAAAACTATTTGTGGCCAAACTTTTACGCAGAACACAGCTCCTATGAACATGTGATGTCAATTGTGTTCATGTGTAACGAGAAATTCCGCGAACGAGTCGATGCGTGGAATTCGTTTGAAAAGAACCCGGTACAGTTTTCGGGTTTCTTTGAGAAAGTGTTGAACTATTGTTTGTCAGAGGAGAAATTCACTCCGATTGTGGCGAAACAGCAAACCGCTTTAATTCTCTTCTTGAATCACTGTTTCAACAGCATGGAAGTGGAACTGTGTCGTAATCAAACGAAGAAATTGGTGTCTCTTGGCATGTGGCAATGTTTGCAGCCAAGTCGTCGTGAAGCCGAACTCAATTCCACTCCTCAATGGAAGAAATTCTGGAAAAAGTTGCAGAAAAAAGACAAATCCGAACAGAAGGAACAACTCGAATTTGAGCGCTTCTTTCTGCAACGGTTGATGGTGAAATTTATTCGTATTCTCGAAGAAATTCCTGAGGAAGGTCCAATTTTCATTGATACAGTACGGTATTGCGAACGATTTTTAGAATTGGTCATTGACTTGGAAGCTTTGCTGCCAACCAGAAGATTCTTTAACACTGTTTTGGACGATTGCCACCTGGTGGTCCGGTGTGCTTTGGCCCCATTGGTGCGTCGGCCGGAGGGGCAACTCTTCTTGCAGCTGCTCGATACACTAAAATTCTACTCTCGTTTTGAAATCAACGATGAAACTGGGGACGCTCTCACCGATCACGATATGACACAAATTCATTACAAGAAGCTGATTTCGCTCCAGCGAGCCGCATTCGCCAAATTTCCCGAATTGAAATTGTTTGCATTGACAAATGTAGCTGCTGTCGATACCAGAGGAAAACTAAAATCACATTTTGATATGTTGAACGATGGTAGTCTCAAGCAAATTGCCCGCTCTTTGTACTTGATTCCGGGTGAAAAAGAGTCAAACCATTTCAAATGGCATCGCGCTGATGTTGAATTCTTACGAGAACTTCTGATCTCACGTCACGAGCGCCGAGTATCACAATTGGATGCTTTGAACGATATGCCACTCTATCCAACAGGTAAATTTTATTGCACTCACCCTTCTAAAGCATTTTGATTGAATTTAATATACTACTTTATTTCATAGAAAACATCATTTGGGACGAAAACATTGTACCGAACGAGTATTATTCTGGTGAGGGTTGTTTGTCGCTGCCAAAATTGAATTTACAGTTTTTGACTTTGCACGACTATTTGCTGCGGAACTGCAACCTATTTCGATTGGAATCTACATTTGAAATTCGTCAGGATATCGAAGACGCTGTTAGCCGAATGTTGCCATGGAGAGATGAAGAGGGTGACGTTATGTTCGCTGGATGGGCTCGAATGGTAAGATTTATTCAAAGTCCTCAAATGAAATTACACCGGCAAACAATAGGTTGAATTTAATATCAATCGCTTTTTTTCTATTTCAAATAATCCAGGCTCTACCGATATCATCATTTGCTGTGGTTGAAGTGGCAAAGCCACATATCGGCGAGAAAAAACCCTCGAGAGTTCGTGCTGATGTGTCGGTCACATTGAGCGTTCGCCCAGAAATTCAAGAGGAATGGGAGAGTTTGCGTAAGCATGATGTTTGTTTCCTGGTTTGTGTACAGCCGACATGTTCAATTGGAACAAAGTACAACTATCGAGAGCCATTCATCCCCCAAGTTGGTCTTGTTAGTGTCCGTGGTTGTGAAATCGAAGGAATGTTGGATGCAAATGGTCGTGTTATTGAAGATGGCCCTGATCCACGGCCACAGTTACCCGGAGAAAAACGAACTTACCGAGTTTGGCTTGATTGCAATCAGTATCGTATGGATATGGATAATTTACAAGAGTCTGGAGTTGATGTTTACGAATCATTCAATATTATCATTCGTCGAAAGCCGAAGGAGAACAATTTCAAGGCTGTTCTTGAAACTATTCGTCATTTGATGAATACAGTTTGTGTCGTCCCAAGTTGGTTACATGACATTCTTCTTGGATATGGGGACCCATCGGCTGCGCATTACAAAAGAATGCCATACCAAGAGAAGACCCTCAATTTCAATGATACTTTTTTGGATACTGAGCACTTGCGGGAATGTTTCCCAGACTACAAAATCGAGGTGAAAGGAGATGAGAAAAAATTGGCACGACCAATGCTTTTGACATTCGAAGATGTGAGGGAATCCAACGAAGATGAAGATGATGATGACGACGACGAAGATGAGAGTATGGAGCTACCGAAAATAATCAAAGTTGAGCAAGGACCTTTACCAAACTGCGGTCCATATCCATACGATGAACCGAAAAAGAATGCCATCAAATTCACTCCCACACAAATTGAAGCGATTCGTTCGGGAATGCAACATGGGTTGACCTTGGTCGTTGGTCCTCCAGGTAATAAAAAATCATAATCTTTATTTTCAAATAAATTTAAAATTGAAATGCGTTTCTTTCAGGTACGGGTAAAACTGATGTTGCTGTTCAAATCATTTCAAATCTTTATCATAACCATCCGAACCAGCGAACATTGATTGTTACACATTCCAATCAAGCGTTGAATCAACTGTTTGAAAAAATTATGGCATTGGATATTGATGAGCGTCACTTGTTGCGTTTGGGTCACGGAGAAGAGGCACTTGAAACGGAAAAGGACTACAGTCGATACGGTCGAGTCAATTATGTGCTGGCCAAGCGTATCGATCTACTGAATCAAGTTCAAAAACTACAGGAATCTCTCGGCGTCACCGGCGATGTTTCGTACACATGTGAAACAGCCGGGTATTTCTATTTGTATCAAGTGATTTCACGCTGGGAAAAGTTTGTCAGCGAAATTGAAGGTTACAATGGCGAAAAATACACACCGATCGTATTTAGTGAGCAATTTCCATTCACACGTTTCTTTAATGACGCACCGCAACCACTGTTCACTGGCCAAAGCTATCAGGGCGATTTGGATGTGGCCAAAGGATGCTTCGAGTACATTTCAAAGATATTCACACAGTTGGAAGAGTTCAGAGCATTCGAACTGCTCCGCAGTGGATTGGACCGTTCGAAATACCTTTTGGTGAAAGAGGCTCGTATAATTGCGATGACTTGTACTCATGCCGCCCTTAAACGCAAAGAATTAGTCAACATGGGTTTCAAATACGATAACATTCTAATGGAAGAATCCGCTCAAATTCTCGAAATTGAAACATTCATTCCGTTGCTATTACAAAATCCATTGGATGGCCACAACCGTTTGAAGCGCTGGATCATGATTGGAGATCACCACCAATTGCCACCAGTCATCAAGAATATCGCCTTCCAAAAGTATTCAAACATGGAACAATCGCTATTCACACGGTTGGTCCGACTGGGCGTTCCGACCGTTGATTTGGATTGCCAAGGTCGTGCCCGTTCAAGTATTTCGGCGTTGTACAAGTGGCGCTACAAAAAACTCAACGATTTGCAACACGTCCTTGACAAGGTTGAGTACAATTTGGCGAATCCTGGTTTCGAGTTTGACTATCAGTTGATCAATGTTGAAAATTTCAATGGCGTTGGTGAGACCGAACCAAATCTATTCTTCTATCAAAATTTGGCCGAAGCCGAGTATGTTGTCGCTGTGTTCATGTACATGCGTTTATTGGGCTATCCAGCGGAGAAAATTTCCATTTTAACAACGTACAATGGGCAGAAGCATCTGATTCGCGATGTAATCAACATGAGATGCGGAGAGAATCCTCTGATTGGCCGCCCATTGAAAGTTACCACTGTTGATAAGTATCAAGGTCAACAGAACGACTACATTTTACTCTCATTAGTCAGAACAAAAGCGGTTGGTCACTTGCGTGATGTTCGACGTTTGGTCGTCGCAATGAGTCGTGCTCGGCTTGGATTGTACATTTTCGGACGAGTGTCTCTTTTCAAGGATTGCTTCGAACTACAGCCGGTATTTAATATTCTTCTAAAACGACCCACCAAGCTACATCTATTGCCAGATGAAATGTTCCCTGGCGAACGAAAATTGGATAACAAAATTGAATCCGAATTCAAAGTCGTTGAAAATATGTCCGAAATGGCTGATTTCGTGTATAAATTGTACTTGAAGCGCATCAACGATATGAAAGAGAACATGGAATCGCTGAAGAAACTCTACGAAAAATTGCCAACCGAAGAAACCACAGAGGAAACAGAGGAAACGGAAGAAGCCGCCGAGCCGATGGAAACAGAAACTTTTGTTGTGACAGAAATTCAAAATGAGGTTTGAACTTTGTTGTGTAAAGGGTTTCTTTGCATGCTGAAAATCATACATCAATAAGCTGATTTATTGTTATACAAACTAATTAAAACTAGGGTAAATCTAAAACGTCAAAATGTATGTCCAAAATGGTGATTAAAAAATCCAGCTACTTGAGAATAGAATTCCATGATGAATAAAATGCTTTCAAATCAACAGAAATTTCGAATAATAAAAGTGAAGAACGATCACAAAATTGAGAAAAAAATAATGGTTTCATTGTAATGAGAAGTAGAAAAAGTGTTAATTTCTTTTAAAAGAGCCACTGAACAACGTCTATCAGCAGCTTACTAAGTTCCCTGCTGTATCTGTTAATGACTTTCATTAATTTGAAATTTTCTGCAAAAAATGCTATGAAATAACATAAATATTTCGAAATATAATCTTCATATTATTATTTTTGGGAAAAGTGAATAAAAAAGTATATTCATCGCAGACTCTGAATTTAGATTTTTGCTGCATGGAAAAAAGGATTGTAGCTCCTGAAGGTGTTGGAAGATCTTTATCGACCAATTTTATGAAATATGAGTCGAAATTTTATTGGTCAACCCGTTTTATTTTTATTATCACGATTGTCTGAACAGTTTTAAAAATATAATTGTGATTATAGTTTCATATTTACATTCTGAATATGATTGGAAATTTGATTAGTAAAAAAAGTAAAAGAAACGGCCGAAAAAAGCTGCTGTTGATAACCAAGACGCAATCCACTTTGACAGATGAGTTCTATTATTGAACTTGAAGCACAACCACATTGACAGTTGTATTGAAAACACGCGGCTGTCAAACTTCGAAAATTTCTTCTGAACGTAATTTATTTTTTAGCATCAGCCACTCGAGATCAAATTGAGAAAATTGAAAGAAAATCACATTAAAATCAGTTAATTACAATCGATAGCCAGCTAATTATCACGGAATTTGTCATTTTGATGGAAATTAAGTGAATGTTTATTGAATAAACTGCTGACATTTGTTTAGCGTGGAAAATTCCCGAGTATAACAAAGAACACAATGATATTCTCAAAGCTGTCTCGATTTGCATGGCGTAATAATCCACATATTCGCCAATTTTCCGGCAAATACCAAAAGGCCTTAGACAAGTATCCTGTTTTAATGCAGGCTGCACAGGTTAGAATGAATAAATGTTTTTGTTGTAAAAATGGCCAATTTTTTTGGGTGCAGAATAGAGCCATTTGTACGAAAAGAAATTCCATGATTAATTTGCGTTTGTATTAAAGGCAGGTTTTTTAATGGGTGCAGGAGACTTTTTGGCTCAAACTATAATTGAAAAGCAGAAATTATCCCAAGTTGACTATGTGAGAACGTTGAAATTCTTCTCGATTGGATTTTGTGTGGCTGTAAGTAGATTCAACAACATTGGATAGTATTTTTTGTATGACAACCTAGAAAACCTGTAATTTTTTTCTTCAATAGGGTCCTGGTTTACGGAAATGGTATGGAACATTGGATGCTCGAGTGACCGCAAAGAGTACATTGGGTCGTACGATGCAAAAAGTGTTCATCGATCAAGCGGTGTTTGCTCCGATTTTCTTAGCCTGCTTATTGTCTGTGATTGGATACTCTCAACATCAGGATGTTGACAAAGTTAAAGATAAACTGCGAAACGATTACAAAGATATCCTTATTGCGAATTACAGTGTTTGGCCATGGGTTCAAATCATCAATTTCAGCATAATTCCATTGAACTATCAGGTGCTGTTAACTCAAACAGTTGCTGTTTTTTGGAATATCTACTTTTCATGGCGTACCAATTTGAAAGAGCGTCCAGCTGTGATTAGCTCTGGGAATGCGGTGAACACAAATACAAGCAGTAATGCTATCAGTGCAATTTAAAAGGATAACAGCATCAAAAACACATACCTATCGTCTCTATTTTTATTTGTAGTTAAATAGGAGTAGTATTAAATCTATTGTAAAAATGAGTTTCAGACAAGCACTAGAGAGACATAAACATATACATGGAATGCTTATCGCATTTATAGAAACGGCGAAACTCGCAAAATGAAATGTTTCTGTTGAAGAGAAAAAGAAAAACAGAATAAAAAAGTCTAATGAAAGGAAACAAAGAAGAATTTTTAATTTAATTTCAAGTTCATAGCTTTGAACGCATCCATTTGGACTTCATTCAGAACAATTGTTGTCTTTAAATTGGTCGCAATCAACTGATGTGTGCTTGAATGTATGTGAATCATGCGACTGGTCTGAGCACAACACAAACAAAAATACGCATGCCAAACATACCGTTCGTGTACAAACGTACCGCCGATCGATGGTGGTGTTCGTCGTCGTCACCCAAAGCATGCTGCATGTTTACCCAGAACAGAAAAAAAAACAGAAACAGGCAATACATTTACCTGCACGAACAAGAACATACGCATTCATACTGTAACTCATCAAGTGAAAACGGACGCATAATGATGTAGCGTATCACACTGCGGCGCATAACCATATGAACGCTAACACTGTGTTCGTGTGTATGTTTGTCTGTCTGTCTGTGTGCATATACAGAGAGTCGCAATCAAAGAAATCACTACGTTGAACCGGCTCATTTCGTTCGCAACACTGAATGGAACTTGGCGACTTTAGTCTGTGAAGTATTATTGTGAAAGCAGCACGTACCCTGTGTAAATCGATATTTGTTCGTATCGAATTCTGTTGGGAATAAGAGCACCAACTAGCTGAAGCTGTACGCACAATAGAGAGTCAGTCAGCACACGCAAATCGGAACAAAACTATTTCGAGAGAAAAAAAAACAACAGCCCATTTACAAAGAGAGTTTTTATGTGTGAATCAAACGGAAACAAATAATATTTGCGCCGGGTGTTGAAAGATGTACAGTGCGAATCGACTTCAAGTGTTCTTCAAGTACAATTTTAAGAAGCAGAAAACTTTATAGCTTTTTTCCACTTCACTCACTTATTTTCATCGGCGCGTAAATGTTTCGCGTCTCTTTGTGTTCTTAGTGCATTTACACAACATTTACAATCGGTTTGCTATTTTTTCTCCGTCAATTCATTTGGCTTTTTTCACACCATACCGCTTCGCTAGTATCAATAGCCCAAGTCTGAATTCACTTAATTGCGGTTGCAATAAAATAATATATTCCATCGTATATTATCGAGCCTATAAAAAATACGAATCGTTCGGTTGTTGCTGTGGTGTTGTTTTTTGTTGTTGTTGTTTTATTCGGTTTGGAATACTCGCGGTGCATGTTGCGTCTAAACGACTATGCAGTTGAATTTTTCCTTCTAAATTCTGTTCAGCGTATGCAAAATAAATACTCAATGATAAAGAAAAGTGCCTTTGAGTGAATGTGCGATCGGACATCAAGTGAAAATATGTCGTCAAATCACTTGCAATTCTAAAGAAAACAGTTTATTGGTGATAAAATTGGTCGCTCAAACGAATTTAATCACGGTTTCAACAACAACATTGATGCAAAGCTATAACAATTAGCCACATCGAAACAATCTAAACACAACAACAATAAAATCAAACGATAGGAACGTAGAATCTAAGCGCAAAAATAATTGTAGTGAAAAAATGATGCAGCCGGCAATAATGTGGTCCAACAGAAATCGATCGAAAATACTGCTGACTGCGCGACAATATACTCATATGGCAGTTATAGTGCTGTTCGCATTACAGACGATAACAATGGCAGCCGCACAGAATCTTGCTCTATCATCGACAACGCCGAAACTCGTACACGGTGCACTTGCAGCAGCTGCAAACCCACTGAGCAATTGCTCGAATGTGAGGAATTTATTCGAATCGCAGGGAATCAACGGTGCCGATATACCAACGCAACCAATCACTGGTAAGTTTCGATTCAATCGTATATATTCACCCAAATTCGATTCGGTTCGGCAATATTTCGCTTGCCCGAACCAAATTCCTATTTTTAGACCGAATGCATTTCGACAAGCGATTCCGAAAAATTGTATTATGTACCGTGCAAATATGCGTGTATTTCCTTCCAAATGACTGCATGAAGCGTTCTTTTTGTTGGTCGTTCTATTGCTCTCGTCTCCTCTTTTCTCTACATATGTTGTGTGTGTCGGTCTTCCGATAAAAAAATGCCATGAACGTCGCATGCGCGCAAATTTGATTTTTATCCTCCTTTAATGTAAACATAAAATGATTCATTTGCATCGCATATGTGCCAAACAATTCGTTTTCGCTTTACCAAGCGCAACTTGGTGTTTTTTGTGGGCAAAATGCTTACTTAGACTGTTTTCTGCTTTTGTTTCAACATTAAATTCGACTGCATGAAATGTTCTAATTCTTGAAAAAATCGCAAACGACGAAGTTTATTACTTTCAAAATAAACGCTGGCAGTGCGTGATAAATATTGCCTGGTATCCCAAGTTGAAATTTACATTGAAAGCCAACCCGTTCCCGGGTTGAAAGGAGAAAAGAAAATCAATAAGTTACATTCTTTTATTAGTTTGTTTATATTTGGGTTTCCAGCAGACGTTTTGTTGAGGCAAAACCCATAGGCTTTGCAGGCTTGGTGTAGTTTTATACTTAACCAAATTAAAATGGCCTGCTGGTTATGTGTATATTATATTATATGCATAAATGCGTATTTTATTCATATGTGTGCACAGCCGAAATGTTGAAGAGTGATTCACTCGCTTTAATCTTTCGATGGTAATTAAGTTAATCGAAATATTTCGTGCCGCACACTTAAGTGGCCTGTGCATTCTTCTGTACAAACGATAATAATAATTCCGTATCTCAACGTCTAATGCTCGAAGACGATATTTATAGGCTTCGAAACGGCGGGCAAATAAATGTGACAACTGTTTTTTTCACTGACAATGCACAAAACACTCTTTTTTTCTCTGGTTCATTTCAATTATCCATTTTTTTCTTTCGCGATTACAGTTTTAAGAATTTATCGCGATTGTGGGAACATATTTTGTGATCGAATAAGTGCAATTAAATATCAATAATTACGCAGATTCTGCTTCGTGCTGCTATTTTGTCAATCAAAAAACCATAAGTCAAAGCCAATTACTGTATGCGCGCAACAAGTATTTTTAATGGTACTACATGGACAGAATATTTCACATCCATACCCAAAAAAAGAAATAAAAATCGCATACACAGCGCAGTCACACACTGCCATAAACACACACTATCGCCAAATTTATTGCATTCACTTGGCGATTTTGAAAAATTCTTCATACGCGTAATTACAGCGAAACTTGCTTTTGTCAACCTTTTTCTCCGTGTTTTTTTCCCTTTGAGGGAGTTTGTTTTTTTTTGTTCTTTGTTCGCCGGTTTCAATTTTTTTTTCCTTCTCTCACTCTTTTTCTTTCAATTTATCGTCTGACAATTGGGCTTCTTGTCGGCGGTTCGCATATTGATACTCACATAATATGTTTTATTGTTATGCGCGGAGAGTGTGTGTCATACAATATGAGCGATAAACTGGTTTCAAATTCGCATATAAGCATTGTCCAGCGCAAAATTCTTGAGCACTGAAAAACTGGACGGTAAAAAAACACAACAAAGAACGCAAAACACATCAGAAGAACAAATAAAGCGAGCAAAAGAAAATGTGCAAGAAATTGAAGCGCACAAAACACATACACATAACCACATACACACGAAAATAAAGGAGAAAGAATATGCCGAGTGAAAATCAGTCAAGTGAGTTCGGCCACAAAACGCATTAATAAAAAATGTATCAATGGCTTGCTGGTCTTCCACTTTGTTTGGCTTTGGATATTCGAATGGTTCTTAATTGAAATGTCATGCAATATGCAAAACAATTAAATAAAAACATTTTTTATGTTTCTCTCGCTTAGACACACATTTGTAATTAAGTTTTTTCAGCTCTGTTAATCCAATCGACCGGTCAGATACTGGGTGAAAAGAATCGAGATAGCGAGCGCGACTTGTGCTGTCCGTGTGCAGATTACATTGCATCATATTTGAATAAATAAATAACATTACGTCAGATTTTTTGCCGTTGTTGTTGCTGCCGCCGCTGTTTGAACGAAGACAGTCCGGTTGCGCACTATCTCTCCGGTTTCACTCTTCGATTCATACGTACGTGTGTGTGTCTCTCACTCGCTTCGCTTCGCTTTGCAGTATAATCTCTTTACACACTTGATTCTGTCGACTGCAAAAGCCGAACGAGCAAACAATCCGAAAAAAACACCACACAAATTCTCTTAATTTATGTATATTCGGCTGGAAAAGTTGATTGGACCTGTGGCTTTTAAAGCAGATCTGAATTGATTTTGCTTTATTCGTCTTGTTGTGGTTTTGAATGCAAATGAACTATCATCTCAACCATTTAAATATAAATGAGAATGGAACTAACTGGACATGCCAATTTTTTGTCCACGGAAATTTGAAACGCGCGCGAGAAAAAAAATCCATTCTATTCTAGAAATGAAATCATTCACAAAAATTCACAGCCCCGACTAAATTATATTATTCAAACGAATGGAACGTATAAAAGCATTTGGTATTTATTTTTCGCTTTTTGTCTTCTGTACAAACTACTATATATTCAGTCACTATTTATTGATCAAAATAAGAGGTCAAATCACTGGAATTCATTAAGCTTCGTCATAATGCTAACAAACCGCAGCCAATTTGAATGCAGTACGCTAATTTTGCCCACGCACCAACATATCAATTACAGAGGAGAGGCTGAATTCATTGTGACTCAATAGTTTACCTCAAGTTCGATCGAATAAGATCGAAAGAGACAGAGAGTGAGCACGAGCAAGCAAACGAGCAAAAAATATACATTTCACACATTGTGCTCAATGTCTCTGAACGTTGTTAGACCGTCGTCGTCGTTGAAACCATGTGACAAATAACTAAATTGACTACATCATTAAATTCTATGTGAATAGAAGTCACTATACTGTCGTGCCTTTCATAGACGCCAAATACACAACGAAAGACCCCTTCTTTTCTTAATAAACAAACGGAATATAGAATGAACGGGGCAGAATAGAAAAAAAATTGATTCACCGAACGCACCTTGTTGTAGATGTAGACTCAATAGATTTCTGTTTGATTCCGTAAGAAAGCGAGTGAGAAAAGAAAACAAGTTGTTATTTTTATACAACTAATCTAAGAACGAACGTATATCATACTCACATCTATCTATCTATATACATACACCGAAAGAGATTAAAGAGCTGACGGCGACGGCTTACGCTGTATTTAGAGTGGATTGAAATATATCGGAACAAAGAACGCAAAGAGCGAGCACAAGGAGCAAGACCGTCCGACCGAAAGTCGAGAGAATAAATTTATTTTAATCGCGCCATTTTGGCTTGATCGTCGAGAGATAAAAATGCGATATTTCTGTATCGAAATCCCGAAGCTGAAAGCTGGTTCAGCACCGGCGCATCACGTATGGGCACAATCAAAAGGTTTTATCTCGATAATGCGATATCGTAGGCTGTTTCTTAAATGAACCCAAGCGATCGATTGGTGCTGAATATGAATGAAGAATGATGTCTGGATGAGGTGTTTTTTGTGTGTGTATTCATTTTGATGTATATGCTCGTTTCCAGCCAGATGATATGTTGTCATATGAATGCAAACCATCGCCTACAAAATTATGTTCTGATGAATAAAAGTTGTATTCATCGCCCAAGCCCAAGCAAACGTACACGGCGCACACAGTGTGTGTAACATTGCGGTGAATGAATCATATCCATCGAAAAGCGAACGGAGTGAAGAAAGCAATTGAACCAAGAGAAAGAAAGAGAGAGAGAACGAAAGCAAGCAGATGGAAAGGCAGCGAGCACATACACGCACACAATTTGGCCACCATAATTCCATAATTTTCTTCTTTCTCTCCACACCCCACATTCTCTTCCTTTCTGGTTCGTGCCCTTCATTCAATTTTTCAGCTGTCTAAAAATTGTGCATTGTGCCTGTGCACCGTCGCACCGATTGCGACAATGTACAATTCACATTTTCCACTTAAAAAGGCACAAACATGCTGTTATTCGACTGTATTTGTCACCCTCATATTGAAACATTCACATCGTTTTCAATTTACAACCGTCTGAATGCGATCGTTCTCTCTCCTCTGCCACTCTCTTCCATTTATTGTTGCTGTTACTGTTACTGTTGTTGTTCTTCTTCTACTACTTCTTCTTTTTCTTCCGGCCTTTGTCTTTAATTCTCAATTTTCGTGTAGAATTAGCGGCTCGTATTCGATTTCAAAAGGAATAGGAAATGAACGGTTTTGTAAATTGGAAATACCATTCGGAAGTATTCTTAAACACAATCGACAGGAGAGAGAGAGAGTGATAGAAGAAACCCACAACGCAACAAACATCTATTCGGAAGTTTCCATCGAGAATTATTTACGATTCATAAAATGTTTACTTTTTTAGTTTTAATTTTAACGCAGGCACATGGCAAAAATCATAATGCATAAAAAAAACTTCAAGTATATTTATGTTATTGTAGAAAAAAAAGAACGAAGAAATGTTTTCGACATGGGATTTGTTTCCTGTCGATTTGCACCTTATGAGCATGCTGCTTGAAATCAACATCTGTGCGCGCATTAAATGCGATGAAATATGGCTTGTTAGCATAAATGAACTAGTCTCTATGGTTAAAATATGTCAATAAATGTCGAAACGATAAATATTTGTACAACAGATCGTTTAGGAACTTGTATCGCATCGAAATCAATGCTCGGTCGCTTGTGTCGGTCCCGATCGATTGAACTCTTATCTAAAATGTAAAACTGAGAGTATCATGTATTCATAACGCTTTCAGCCAATCAATCGATCAAAGCCAATTGAAAGAGTCACA